TGAGTATGCCATTACATTTGTTCTATTTCCCCCCCTCCGTTCCCCTCTACCACCATTCCCCCCTTTAGTTCATGAACACGTGTCTCAAGTTCTTTAGATTCTGTATTTCCCCTACTATTCTTACCCTCCCCCTATCTATTTTCTACCTACCGTCTATGCTACTTATTTTCTGTACCTTCTCTCCCCTTCTCCTTCTCCCACTCCCCTGTTGCTAACCCTCCATGTGATCTTCATTTCTACGGTTCTGCTTCTGATCTAGCTGTCCTCTTAATTTGCTTAGTTTTAGGTATGGTTGTTGATAACTGTGAGTTTGCTGTCCTTTCACTGTTGATCTTTTTTATCTTCTCTTTCTTAGGTAAGTCCCTTTAACATTTCATATAATAAGGACTTGGTGATGATGAACTCCTTGAATTTGATCTTATCTGAGAAGCACTTTATCTGTCCTTCCATTCTAAATGAAAACTTTGCCGGATAGAGCAATCTTGGATGTAGGTCTTTGGTTTTCATGACTTGGAATACCTCTTTCTAGCCCCTTCTTGCCTGTAAGGTCTCTTTTGAGAAATCCGCTGACAGTCTGATGCGAACTCCTTTATAGGTGACAGTCCCCTTATCTCTTGCTGCTTCTTAGGATTCTCTCCTTCATTTTAATTTTGGCTAATGTAATTATAATGTGCCTTGGTGTGTTTCTTCTTGGGTCCAACTTCTTTGGGACTCTCTGAGCTTCCTGGATTTCCTGGAAGTCTATTTCCTTTGCCAGAATGGGGAAGTTCTCTTTTATTATTTGTTCAAATAAGTTTTCCACTGGTGGCTGTTCCTCTTCCCCTTCTGGTACCCCTATAATTCGGATGTTGGAACGTTTAAAGATGTCCTGGAGGTTCCTAAGATTCTCCTCATATTTTTTTGAATTCTTGCTTCTTCACTCTTTTCTGTTTGGCCATTACTTGTTTTCTTCTGGTCCACTCCATTGATTTGAGTCCCAGTCTCCTTTCCATTACTTTTCCTGTGCATTACCATTCGTTTCAATTAGTTTAGCCTTCATATGTTCCTCTAATTTGTGACTAAAATCAACCAGTTCTGTGAGGATCCTGATCACCAGTGTTTTGAACTGTGCATCTGAAAGTCTGGCTATTTCTTCATCACTTAGATTTATCGGCTCTGGGGCTCTGAGTTGTTCTTGAGCCATGTTTTGATCTGTTTGTGCCTGTTATGTATGAGGAGCGGAGCCTTAGTTGTTTACCAGGGCGGGGCCACCCAGGTCGCTGGTTTGTGATGCTATATGTGGGGGCAGGGTCAGAGAGGGAGCAATGGCGGTCCTCTCGCAGAAATGTGCGAGCCCGCCGCCCTGCGCCCCTGCGGTCTCAATGCTCGCTTCTTCACTGGTTTGTCTTCAGGCAAATGCTCCACCGACCGCAGCCAGCCAGCCTCGCCTCTTCCCTGTGTCTGCCCGTAGCTAGCCCGCACCTGGGATCCTCGCCTTCTGCTGCTTCCGCACCACCCCGGCCGGGGATCTTTTTGGCCAACCTGCTCCGCTGCTGGCTTCACCCCCCTTACCGGTTTAGCTGAGCATTTCGTTGTTTCCGGACTCCGTATTGTCAATTTTCTGTGTGGTTTGGTTGCGTTTATTGTTGTTAAAACTTTGTTGTTTTTAGATTTGGTTGTGCGCGGACGCAAGGTGTTTCCACCTACGCCTCCATCTTGGCGGAAGTCCTATTTTTATTATTTTAAAACTGGTTACAAGTATAACACATCATCGTTCTAAAACCTTTCTTTTTCTGTCCTCTGTAGACTACCTGAATACTTCTTAACATTCCACTTTAATTTATCTGTAGGGTTTCAAGTGTCCAGCTTAGTGGTTACAAAGTCATATACTTTACACAGTCCTCCCCTCAATATTTCCAGTACCCCAATTTTGTACAGCTTTCTCAGTGGTTGTTCCAGGTATTAAATTTTATATCTTATCACACTTCATTCCATTTCACCAGTTTCAGTGAAGCACAGAAACCTTACTTCCCTTTCTGTTCCCCCAGTCAAAATACAATCTTCTTAACCAGTTCTTCTACATATATTGACAACTACATCAGACAGCACTATAATTTTTTGCTTTAAGCATCAAGCAGAATTCAGAAAACTCAAGAGGAGAAGGAAAGTCTACTGTCCTGACTCATATTTTATTTTCTACTGTTCTCTTTTCCCTTCTTTTCATAAAGATAGTCAGTTATTTCATAGGATGTTGAAAAGTATCCTTTCTCCACATCCAGGTTTATAACTGGTTTCTGTGGGGGAGGATGACTTCAGAGTCTTAATCCCTCACTTGCGGAGGCAGTAGTCAAACTTACTCAATTAAATTTCTATTTTACCTTGTGAATTCTGAAGATGTTACTTCAACATAATATATAAAAAAGGACCGGTCACAAACTTTTATTTCAGCAGAAATTAAAAAATTCTTAAGTTAATTTTCAGATAATAATATGTAAAACTGAAATTATGGACATTTTATGTGGATTCTATCTTAAAAGACTCAGTAAAAAAGTTTGTCACACAAATAGCCCATTCTCAGTTTAATACTATTTTAAAAAATGTTGACGTGGTTCAGTTTAATTCTTACTAAGAAAGTCTACATGGGACATTCCACCGGCTTTCCTCTCACTAAATGGATGCCTCAGAGCGAGACCCCGGTGGGGGATGGAACTCTGACGCTCCTTCATGTAGTAGTCTCTGCTCCGACATGCCCACTAAGTGTGACCACCACATTGTGAGGGCGTGGTTTTAATATCTGAAGTTATGTATTTCTGCTCTGACTGGTGGGGCTCCGTTGGTTGGAGTACCGTCCCACAAAGCAAAAGGCTGTGGGTTTGATTCATGGGCACAGCACATGCCTAGGTTGCAGGTTCAGTCCCCTTTGGGGCACGTGTGTGAGGCAGCCGATCGATGTTTCTCTCTCTGTCTTTTTCTCCCTGCCCTCCCCTCTCTAGAAGTAAATAAAGACAATCTTTAGAAAATAAAGATGTGCATTTTCTTATTCCATAGACACTGAAAGAAAGACAACCGCTTCATCTGTGCTCAACTGAGTAAACAGCAACAGTGTGCAATGCGGGTAACAACTGGTGTGCGTACTTATCGGAGTGGAGCATGGGCCCTCAGGGGCAGGCTTAAGAACCTTCAAAGAGAAAACTTGACATTATATTAAATTGAACATAAGGAAAGATAATTCTTTAAGAAATGTAGAGCCACTGAAAGTTTTTTTCGCTCTAAAGATTTTTGTAGAAGAGACTAGCATCATATCTGAGCCTGAACAAGGTGATCTTTCCCATTTTCATTTATTTGTTCACTATATATATTTTCTGAGTCTACTACATCCCAGAGACAGAAATTGTAATTGTGTGAGATACTAGAAATATGAAGACTAATATGACATAGCCTGTGTTCCCAAGAATTCTCAGTAAAGCAGAAGGCAATAAACATACGCGAACAAATATATTCTAGTGTTATGGATGTTACCAAAGAAGTCTGTATACATGGTTCGTTAGGAATACAAATGAGGGGGTCAGGAGAAGGTTCAAAGGTTACTTAGGGCCATGAAATAAACCACAGAGCTGGGCACAGTGCCTGGCCCACAGTAAGAGTCAATGAATATTAGTAGTGATGGTTGGTAGTCATGATATATAGGCAGGGAGGCAGGAAACAACAGTCTAGCACATTTGGTAATCACAATGAGACAATTAGCAACATAATAAGAAGTGTGTTTATGCAGAACTCATATGCCTTTGCCTATTTAGAAGTGATAAAAAGATGCTTGCTCCTCCCCTTTGGTCTCAGTTAAACTTTCTGTTTCAGAGACAATGGTCTCCAAACTTCTTCCTCATCTATTTGCCAAAAGAAGTATGAAAAACAGAAGGCTAATATTCAAACAGAAAGAAAAACAGTTAAGTCCTCACTTAACATTGTCAATAGGTTCTTGGAAACTATGACTTGAAATGAAATGACGTAAAACAAAACCAATTTTTCCATAGGCTAATTGGTATAAACAAGAGTTAAGTTTCTATGGCATATTTCTGGTCACAAAAACATTTCTGAACTTCAAAATAAAAACCCCAAACACTTCTAATATTAAACACTGAAATAAATGTGAGCTATCCATATACTTAAGGATGATTAAGGAAAATGAGAAGGAAATTCTTTTCCAACCTACTTTTTCCAGTTCAGGGCCGAGGGTGGGTGGCCAGAGCCTACCCAAGCAGCTCAGGGTGTGAGGCAGGCACCCAGCAAGGACAGGCTGCCCTTCCACTACAGGGCCACGGACACCAGCACTCGCTCAGGCTGGGGCAATGGCGATGCACCAGTTCACCTGACCTGCAATCTTGGGGACGTGGGAGAAAACCCACGAAGACATGGGGAGACTGTGCAAACCACACAGACAATGGCCCTGCTCAGGAATTAATTTTTTTTTCTTGCCAAGGTTATAACAAAATGACATTGCAATGACAGGAACAAAATGATGTTCTTAGAGGACCTGCTGACACCATTTGAGGTGGAGTTTAGAAGCACAGGCTTACCTGGCTGGGCCCTGATTCTTTCTCCAGGGGTTAGGTTCTACGTCTTACATTCCCGGCACAAGCTAGAGGCTTCCCAAACCCGGAAGACTCCATGCTGGATTTCAGGCCCTGCCACTCCCTAGAGATTTTTGCTGTTCTGCTCTAGGTCAAACCTTCCTGGAGAACAAGTCCAAGTGTGCTCCTGTCCTTGGGAGATGGTAACTGAGAGTGCTGGTCCCTTCGCTTGGAGGGCCAGCCCAGCAGCCGGCTCAGCTGCCCTAGTTTCAGAATCCAACGAGTCATGTGTCTTCTCCATTCCCAGGAATCCACGGCTGATATTTCAGTAACTCTCAGGGATGAATCTGTCAGTGAAGGCATGATGGGGGCTGGCACAGCACAGCAACGCTCAGTAAATGCCAGTTCTTTTCCTTCCTTCTTACTGAGCCAACTGAAGCACGCTCTACTCACCTGATGGACACAGTCTAAGAACTGCAGGAAGACTGGGGTGAAACCGCTCCCCTGAGAGTTGAGAGTCAAGCTGCTCCTCTGACTGAATTTATGACCGAAAGAGAGCCACTCTTTTTCAACCAACATCCGGAAGCCTTCAAGTGTCCTATAAAAGGGATCACCGAGTAACTGAACCAGCGATGTCACCTAGGGTACAAGCAGGACGGATTCTTCATTACTTTGGGTCCTGAAAAAAATCCTGTTGCCAAGACAAAGCACTTCCTTTTGGCAACAGCCAACTCACAAGCAAAACCTGTGCAGCAAATGTGTTCACTAATACTCCAGGACAGGCAACCAAATTACCTCTGCAAATGTTCCAGGAAAAATTAAAAGTCAAATTCATTTTGGCTATGTGTTCTTTCAGGGAATGCAGAAAGCCAGCTGTGGCTTTCTCCCAGGTTAATTAATGAGCCCAGAGGTTCATTCAAACCTATAGCTACTCTTCGGCAGCTGTAGATTAATATCTTACTGTAGTTTATATGCATACCTCTCCTTTTCACTCTGGAGTGAGGAAAGGAGGGGATTATAGAGAATCAGGGAAAGGACTGACAAAACCCGGGCAGGATGGTCCATGTGCCACACTGCTGGTCCAGAGCTCCGTCCGTGCCTACACGGTGCATCTGTGGTGCGGGCACCTGAAGCCGAGCCGGAGCTCCAGGTTAGGTAGGGCCTGGAGGCTCAAGGCAGAGCTTTCTGATGGACACTCGGTGATGTTAACACAGGACTCTTTCTGTCTATACATGTTAGTCATTACACAAAAGATTCATCTGCAGAATTCAAAACCGAATGATCTGAAATGCAAATTCACAGAAATATAAAACTAAATATATAAAAATATAGGTAGTAGTTTACTTGTGCTGTGATGTCCCAACCTTCTTCCAAACAGACCAAGACAGAGGAGCCATTTTCCAGCACTTCTGAGACGACCGCGGCCAGCTGCATTGTCCTGTGGAGCTGAGGCGGGAAAGGGGCCACGATGAGACCCAGTGCTGCCTGCTCGGGGAACAGAGAGCCTTGCTCTCCCACTTAGACAGGAGCATGTCGGGGGAAAGGAGCTGAACAAAAGGGACACACACATGTTCAATACTTAAAATTCCTTGTTAAAATCAAGATTAAACTGACACCTTTTGAAAGTAGACACATTTAAAAACAATGTGTCCAAGGGATACTTAATGAAATAGATGGAGCTTACATCATTTCCCCCAAAGTGGGGTAGCTAGAACTCCGTAGAGTGGACAGATTCTAAGCGGCCCTCTCAACGGTCACTGGACTTAAAACTTGACTCTGTAAGTTCTGTTTCAGATGCTCCGAATATTTCTGGAACCAGACAGTGGGGTGGTTGCACAGTTGAGTGAATACACCAAAAGCACTGAACTGTATAGTTTAAAAGGCCATATTTTATGGTAAATGAGCTATATCTTTAAAAAAGACACTCTTGTCTCTACTGTGGGGAAGAAAACTTCTATTTGTGCTCAGTTTTTAAAGCCAAGCCACATGACTCACAGTTCCTATTAAACAATTAGGGTGTGAGCACAGCATATAGATTTCAAAACCAAACGTGCAACATTCTAGTTTAAAAAATATTTTGAGCACTGCTTGGTATAGTTTGTAGAATGCACCCAACCCTGAACTGAAAGGGAAACCCCACACTTAAACGGAGAGAGGCCATTAAACGCGCCCACCGACTCCCGCGGCGGGAGGCTCCTCACTCACCGTTCCAGTGAGACAGCTGGTGCCAGGCCTGAGCTCTCTCGCACTCGCCTTTGCTCTGAGTTAACTTTTAATTTTAAAAGCATCTCAAGCAGAACAATGTTTCCTACTGGTCCCCCCCCGCCCAACTTATTTCTGGTGTGGACCTACTCTGGAGTCAGAACACAGAAGGGCCAGAAACGCAGATAGTCTGGGTGGTGGGGACAGTGGGGCTGGGGGTCGCAGCTGAGAGGCAGAAGGGAGCACTGATCGGCTCCTTGCACGGGTACTCAAAGGGTCCTGACCAGCCCAATACACTGTGGGAAACGACTCTCTTCCCTCCTCAAGGGAGGCGGGAGGCTTGGAGGTAGACGGGTCAGGGGATGGAGCGGATGGGAACTTGTGCGGGGAGAAGGAACAGTGGCCACAGTGTCAGGGGCCCAAAGACAAGGCCGAAGGCTGCACTGCAGAGAGGCTCTGGGCCAAACGGCTGTGTCAGAGTCTGAAACACACGTGTCATAAATTCACTGTGTGGTTTAGAAGAAATGTGGGTTACGTGTGCTGGCTCACCCCCTTCTCCTGGATTTCTCAGTAGGAGTTGAACTAGAACATCCCGAGCCTGACTCAGCTGAAGGAAGGACATGTGGTTTTCCCAAACCTTAGGTAGGCTTCAAGGCATCCCCTGTGCCTTTGGTGGCTGTTGTGGGGTTAATCTAAAATCTAAAGGCACGCAACAGGCAGAGACAGCGCAAAGTGAGGGAGTAAGAGTAAAGGCTCTTGGAGGGACCCAGAAATCACATTCCGTCCGGGACCCTCATTCTGTTGACAATAGAGCAGGAGCCCTATAAATGTGTCTTGATTAAATTTATTATCCATCTAAAAATTATGATCTCCTCCTTAGCATCCTATGGAGACAAGTGCTCAGTCAGAGGGAGAGATAAAATCCAGGGGTGAAGACATCTACCCCTTCCACTCCTGCATCACATGGGTTCCTGGAAACGAAAGGCTTTCATTTGAGGGCACCCAGGAGAGGGAGGCCGTCAGGTAGTGGGGGAACACGGTACTCTTCTCCAATACCAGTTCTGCACATCCCTGAGTTCTAAGACAAGGTGCCCCAGACAGTACCTGTGGAAACCACTCGGAGTCTCCCAGGGCTTTCAGGAAGGTCACTTCTGAATCAACAGGAATGGTGCTTGGGACACAGGCTCTCATCAGCTTTTTAAAACTGGCTTTCACTTGTCGGATGTCATGAAACTCAACAGGAACAAACTCACAATTTAAAGCAAATTCTAATTTAAAGTTCTGTGGATAAAGATGCAGAGAATTAGGCAGAGAAGTGCTACAGGTTAAGAACAATGATTTCAACAGGGCAATGCTTAAATGGTAGACAGTTCATTGAGGCCAAGTGGCTGCAGAGGCTGCAACGAGTCAAGAAAGTCAATCTTGTGTGGCTCATGTATCTGTATTGCTGGGAGGAGCCACGCAGCAAGGGCCAGGGGTTTGACGTGGCTTGCTGTCACTCTGAGAACTTGAAGAGACTGCTGGGGGGCTGGAACCTGATGGGAGCTTGGAACACCAAACATAAGGCAATTACAAATCCACGAACCTGAAGTCTAAACAGGAACCAGTGACGTATGGACTGTGTGATTAATACAAAAGTGTACACTAAGTCTCCCCAAGTTGCACACTGTAACTAAAAGGTAATATATTAAGGTTCCAGAACTCCACATATTCAAGTTTGTGGACATATATATATATTTGTTTCTTATTAAGCAAATACAGTAGTCACTGTAAAAATAAAAAAGTAGAGATAAACATTGAGAAGGAAATAAAAATCACTAAAACTACTAATACGTAGTTACTCTTTTAAAGTCTAAATAAATAATTATATACAGTAACACATGAAAGCCTTTGTTGATTTCTGGCTTTGAGACAATGCATTTTCATGCAGTATGATGTGTCAACCTATATTTAATTGAATATTTTTAAATAATTTATGTCTTTAATCCACATGGAATTTGAGGTTGCATTTTTAATTAAGTAATACCAACCAGGGGTGTCAAACCCGTTTTCACTGGGGCCACATCAGCCTCACAGTTGCCTTCAAAGGGCCGGATGTAATTTTAGGACTGTAAGTGTAACTGCTCCTTAACTGTTAAGCAAGAGCTCAGCACTGCCACCAGGTAGAGAAGAGGCACCAGACCTGATAAAACAAGGTGGAGGCTGGATTCGGCCCTTGGGCCTTGTGTTTGCCACCTGTGTGCTAAACTGATGGCCCAAATGTATATTTTAATTTGATAATCTGGTTACCCAATTCTGATAATTAAAAAATTTTCTAAGGCCCTGGCTGCTGTGTGGATTTAGCACAGGCCTGTGAGCAAAGGGTTGCGGGTTCCATTCCCAGTCAGGGCACATGCCTGGGTTGCAGGCCGGGACACATGAGAGGCAACCATACACTGATGTTTCTCTCCCACTTTCTTCTTACCATCCCCTCTCTCTACAAATAAATAAATAAAATATTTAAAAAACTTTTCTAAGTTCTCTTGCTAAGGAATCGATAAACTTTCTTATATTCTTTCCACTTTCCTCACATTCTGCCCAAATTATTCTGCTGGACCATCAGCTTTTCTAAGGGTAAAACTGTTCTCTTGAGATTGTTTGTACAACAGCGTGAATGTATTGATTTAGCTTATCAGCTATAAGCTTATAAGATTTAGCTTAAATCAGCTATAAGATTTAGCTTATATTTGTATTATTTGTATTTTACCACAGTTAAAAAACTGCGGCCAAGGACTTACTATAGGGTCTATTTCATGTTTTATACTGGTTATTTTAGAATATTTTTTAAAAGGCCCATTAAAGTTTTAAAATAAAAAGCTCCCAAGTCTTTAAAAAAAACGGCACTTCTAATATGTACCCAGAAAGAAAAAAGTTTCTTGTCTTAGTAATTCCACTTTTAGGAATAATCTAAAACGTATGGGGGAAAAACCCTAGTATTTCAATTAAACATAATAATAAGCTATATGCTTAAAAATGTAACTATAATTTTACATATAGAAGATAAACTGATACATCCAACAATATGAAATGTTATATAGTGACTAAAACAATGAAAAGACTATTAAATAACAAAGAAAAATGTTATGGTTTGAGATAATGAACTCAGTTGTATACATGAGATCTTTTCTATTAGTTTTTTCACTTATAATAGAACAAAGATAGTTTACTTTTCAGGAAAACTAGGCTCCTTTCCACTCCCAACTGTGAAGGAGCGAGGCATGCCTCTCTCATAACCGGGAGCTATCACCCTGAGTACGGAGACACACTAAAAGGTCAAAGAGAATTTGTGAGTAAGTACAAGGTGTTACAGTATGTGAATTAAAAAGGTAAACAAGACCAATTCAAGATTACTGGAGTCAGCCACTCTCACATATTGGCTTTGCTCTACGTTTCCTGGTTGGGAGAAAAGGTGTGGGGCTGCACCTGGGAGATCTACGCCGCTGCACCACTGTGCCGCTGCACCTGGGAGCGCCGTGCGCCTGTGGAGCAGCACAAGTCAGCTAGCCATGGGCCCACACTCTGCAGGCACACTCGATGAATCAAAAGCAAACCCAGAGTGGAATATTAAAAAAATCCCAATAATTCCTGTGCTAGATGGTGAGATTGTATTTTTAAAATATAATTCTTTATTGATAAAGGAACAGAACAAAAAATAAAATAAAAGGAAAGAAGAAAGGAAAGGAGGGAAGAGGAAGGGAAGGACAAGGGGTCCCACGTAACCGGCTTCCTCACTCACATGTGCACGATCACACAGTTCTCCCGAGGACCGCAGCGCAAAGGGAACGGCAGAGGTGAGCACTGAGAGGCACACCTTGGGGAATGGTTGAGATCATGAAGAGCGGTGTGCTGAAGTGTGGGGAGTCTGTACCCCGGGAAAGATGGTAGTGCCAGGAGGCCGTGCTGGCAACCCTGGATTGCTGTTGAAAGGTGTTCTAACTATTTTCAGGGTATAAAGCTAACTGCTGTATCAGAAGGCACGTGTGTGTATTTAAAAACTGAGCATTACCCAGCAGTTTCATGCCTTCTGCCCTGGAGGTGGGTGACTAAGTGACTGCAGCAGTCTGGGCAGTGGGAGAGGAGCTGGCGGAGCCAGCTCACCTCAGAAGAGATGACTTAGTCACTGGCACCTTGAGGACCGAGCATGTGGGGTCCTGCTCAGAGCCTCTGCCCCACAGTTCAACCAAAGGTCTGTCTGCATGATCCAGTGCGGACTGCAGCACTGGACTTCACTTTCAGGGAATTTCTTTTTTTTTTAAATATATTTTATTGATTATGCCGTTACAGATGTTCTATTTCCCCCCTCCATTCCCCTCCACCCTGCACACCCCTCCCCCACCATTCCCCCTTTAGTTTATGACCACGTGTCTCAAGTTCTTTAGATTCTATATTTCCCATACTATTCTTCCCTCCCCCCTATTTTCTACCTACCGTCTATGCTACTTATTTTCTGTACCTTCTCCCCCCTTTTCCTTCTCCCACTCCCCTGTTGCTAACCCTCCATGTGATCTTCATTTCTATGGTTCACTCCTGATCTAGCTGTCCTCTTAGTTTGCTTAGTTTTAGGTGTGGTTCTTAATAACTGTGAGTTTGCTGTCCCTTCACTGTTGATCTTTTTTATCTTCTTTTTCTTAGGTAAGTCCCTTTAACATTTCATATAATAAGGACTTGGTGATGATGAACTCCTTGAATTTGATCTTATCTGAGAAGCACTTTATCTGTCCTTCCATTCTAAATGAAAGCTTTGCTGGATAGAGTAATCCTGGTTGTAGGTCTTTGGATTTCGTAACCTGGAATACCTCTTTCCAGCCCCTTTTTGCCTGTAAGGTCTCTTTTGAGAAATCTGCTGACAGTCTGATGGAAACTCCTTTGTAGGTGACAGTCCCCTTATCTCTTGCTGCTTCTTAGGATTCTCTCCTTCATTTTAATTTTGGCTAATGTAATTATAATGTGCCTTGGTGTGTTTCTTCTTGGGTCCAACTTCTTTGGGACTCTCTGAGCTTCCTGGATTTCCTGGAAGTCTATTTCCTTTGCCAGATTAGGGAAATTCTCCTTTATTATTTGTTCAAATAAGTTTTCCACTCGTGGCTGTTCCTTTCCCCCTTCTGGTATCCCTATAATTCAGATGTTGGAACGTTTAAAGATGTCCTGGAGGTTCCTAAGTCTCTTCTTATTTTTTTGAATTCTTGTTTCTTCACATTTTCCTGTTTGGCCATTATTTTCTTCCTTCTGGTTCACTCCCTTGATTTGAGACCAGTTTCCTCTTCATCACTATTGGTTTCCTGTGCAATTCCTTTCATTTCAATTAGTTTAGCCTTCATATGTTCCTCTAATTTGTGACTATAATCAACCAGTTCTGTGAGCATCCTGATCACCAGTGTTTTGAACTGTGCATCTGAAAGTTTGGCTATTTCTTCGTCACTTAGATTTATGGGCTCTGGGGCTTTGAGATCTTCTTGAGCCATTTTTGGTCTGTTTGTACCCGTTAAGTATGAGGAGCGGAGCCTTAGGTGTTCACCAGGGTGGGGCTGCCCAGGTCGCTGGGTTGTGACGCTGTATGTTGGGGCGGGGTCAGAGCGGGGAAATGGTGGCCCCCTCTGCTGCCTCTTGCTGCTGGGGCCTCCTCCGTCCCGTCGTCTCACCGCCCACTCCCTCGCTGGTCTATCTGCGCACAAATGCGCAGTCCACAGTCAACCTGCCGCCCTGCACCCTCGCTGGGTATGCCGGTCGCTCACTGGTTCCGCCCGTTGCAACCCCACGCTTGGGATCCTGAGTCTATCTGACCGAGTTTTCCTGTGCAGTCCTGCTCTGCCAGCTGCTGGCTTCGTCCCTCTTACCGGTCAGGCTGAAGAATTTGTGATCAGACTTCCGAAAAGTTCAATTTTCTGTGTTCTGACTATGTTTTCTGTTGCTAATATTTTGTTGTCTCTCAACTTGGTTGTGGGAGAAAGCACGGCGTCTCCACCTATGCCTCCATCTTGGTGGAAGTCCCACTTTCAGGGAATTTCTGAATGAACAAATACTTTTATTTCCCACACACCTGTCAGTAGTAATGACATTTATTTTGTGATGTGTGAATTGCAAAAACATTAAACCCAAGGAATTACTGCTTCTTTTGGAGATAGAGACTATCTTTACCCCTTATGAGACCTACACATCATAAAGCTTTTTAGCATAATAATTAAAAAAACAAAGTTGATCAGCACCTAGTAGTTTGAATTTTCTGGCATGTCTTAGGACACGTGTCCCTTTATATATATTGCATAGCTTGTGAAATTTAAGAGAAGGCAACTTAGAAAACATGGCTTTGGCCTTCCTGTGCTCCATATGCCGTGCACCTTCCTGTAGCTTCTTTGTCAACAGGTTCGTAACAACAAAACCTGTTCTGCCATGGACACGGATTCCCATGGAAGTTGAACTAAGACAATGGAAGAACACAGCCTCGAATGAGCCTTATTACTTCTTTTTTTAATGTACACTTCCTAATAGTCCTGATGTTTACAGTGACCTACTTTATGATCATGAAAAAGTATTTCTTTACACAGCTAATAAGCACGCATGTGTGCATATACATATCTAGCTAGGTATATGTAGACAAACATACACATATATTTAATGAGCTAAAAAAATGGAGACTGATTATTAACCACAGGTTAAGAGTTTATGCTGCAAAAAAAAAGAAAAAAGAAAAATTCTAGGAAAGCTGATTTATGAGGTAAATTTTATAAACTGCCTTTGGGTATCCATAAAGTTTGTAAGTGAGAAAGAGAAATCTTACCCTTAGTTGTGACTTTTCGCCAAATATATAGAGGGCCGCTTGGCGTTTCGAGAGCTGGTTCTGCAGGTAGGCGCTGTTGCTGAAGGAGGCCGAGTGATCCCTGCCTGCCAGCCGGGCGCCAACATCGACAAAGGATGTTGGAGAACTGATCAGGCGAGTGCTAGAGCGGAGACTTGCCCACACACCTTTACAAAAGCCAAAATAATTGAGGTAATCTGATGTGGGAAGACCACGGAACTACGAAAAAGATGCATGCTCTGTAGGTATAGTTTCAGAGGTAACAGCAAGTTAATTAACCTAGGGAATCATGGACCATACTACTGGTCATCTGTCATTTACCTTTGCAACATAGAAGCTTTACTCAATAAGGCATTTCTAAACCATACAAGATTAGGTGTGGAAGGACCCAAGAAGTCACCAGAGTCTCAATTCGACTGTATTCTGATGTAAAGTCAGTATTTATAAGCAAATACTGGGACCATGAAGAGTAAGCGTGGACTGAGCTAGAAACAAGGAAGGCGGCAGGGGCAGTAAGGAAGCCCAGGGGCGAGAACGTGGGGTGGCCCCACTTCTCAGGGCTGCGGGAAAGAAGTGAGAACAGTCTTCTGCTTTAGTCAGTCAATTCAATAGGAAATCCAGATTAAGAACAACATTATGGCTTTACTAAACCTACTAACATCTGGGGCTGGATTTAGAATGAATATTTGTGTATTGTGCCAAAATGAGGTACTTTAAAATTAGTAAAGATTATATTAAACTCTTTTTCTCCAGTATCCAGGAAAAATGGTGAGACACTATACACTTAGTAACATACACTTCACTGAATCTTAGGGGGCTTTATTTAAAATTTATAGTCAGAAGCAGATATCTTCTCATGGAATGGCCATGCTAAGCTGCTAGAAGAAGCTTGTAAATTGACCTCAATTATATATTAATTAGAAAAATCAAGGATTTCTATACGCAAGTGAGCTATTAGGTATTAAATATCCGAGCACAAAAGCATGCACTAAGTTGAAATTTGCCTGCCGCTGTAGCACCTTCAAAACAACAAAGCCCCTTACACGCCCACGGACCACGGTGCTTGTCTCGGAAGTGTGGTCACAGCGTGCAAGGCGCTGCCCTCGCTGCCCAGAGTGGGGCTTCCTCTTTACAGCTGGACAGCCTGCTCGGGGAGCTTCACTGTTTGCCAAATGTTAAGTCAAGCCGTGCTTCCAGTGGCTGGAAGTCACCACGATAATGTCACATTTGCTTCTCTCTTTACGAGGTAAGTACAGGGTCAGGAAACCAGTTCCTAAGGAAAAATTTTATAGGTGATTTCTGCTTAACATGGACAGATCTTTCTACACAACCTCTGAGTTTGTCTTAGATATTAAGGCAAATTTCTGGAAATGAAATCACAGAGGAAATTCAGAATGTGGGTGACAATGGAAGATAATTTGACAAACAGATGTGCCAAATGCCACTTGTAACACACATGCTTTCATATGGAGATGGTTAAAAGGGATGACACATCGGGACGGTAATACAGTACCTTGATTACGGACTCTCCCCTTAGCTGAAGACTTGGGGTTTGACTGAGTAAAACAGTTACCTCTGTGCCCACGCACTGGTAGGTAAGATTGAAGACAGAAGGAGGAATGACATGTACACAGCAGCGAGCATCAGAGCAAATCGGGTAAGAGAAGAAGTGTAGGTTATTTAATTTTTAAAATTAAGTTAACATAGGAGAAAAATGTAAATATAATGAAAGTAGAAGATTTAACAAATAAAAAGCTGCACAGTCACACAAAAAGGATGCACTGAGCGCCTGGTAAATGAAATTTCAGCACCTGTTCATAAATATAAGCGCAATGAAATGAACAGCACAGCAGACAGTGCCACTAAAAAAATTATACCAAATGGAATATGCTTTCGAAGGCTGTCCTTGGGTGACCAACACAACTGGAATTTAGGGAGGGGAGTGAATGTTAGGAATCCATTGGCCCTCGTATTTAGGGAGGCTGACTGATCGGTGCGCCACCTGTTGTGCGGCACACGCCTGTTCCTGAGCAAGGCCGTCACGTCAGGAATAAAGCTCTAGCGACCATTTGGAATAACTACGAGCATGTTTTTGCAATAGAGCATTAAGCACTGCCACACTATCTTCTTTAGTTTTTATTTAGAAATTACATTTACTCTGCATAAACAAAGTTAACGAGAAGCAAAAATTCATGATCCTGTGACAATACCCAATGCTGCTAAAAAATATAGCTTGTGATGACTGAGGTAATGACTTCTCCTGAAATCCCTACTTGCACCAAAATAAGGCAGTAGTAGAGATAATACTTTTGTAATTTGAGTAATATTGTTTTTCTTTTTTTTTCTGGCAAAAGAAAACACTTTGTGACTATGGCAAATTTTTACCTGGTAATAACACAAAATGGTGAGCAGTAAGTTATAGTTATATCCTGAGCAAAGAACGGCTCATCAAACAAGGAAATGACTCTGTATTTGTTCAGGATTGAAAACTTTCACAGCAGGACTACTAAGCCATACATTACAACACTGCATAAAAAGGTGAGGTAACTTGATAAAAGAAAAATCGTTAGAAGTGATTACACATTCCTGCCTCACTCCTTCTGAAGCGGGAAATGAAAGGCACTGATGGCTTTGGTGGCCGAAGAAGTCAGAAAGCTGAGGTCTGCAGAGGTGCCAGCTGACCGCACACAGAGGATGCTACTGCAGAGCAGAACAGAGACCTGAGAGGGCTGGGCAACCGCTCTCCTTGCTGCCAAGGTGTTGAGCTTTCCTACTGACCACAGGGCACTGAATGCTCGCAGTGAAGTATTAGTTGTTTGGCTCCTGATTCTGAAATGCTGCTCCCTAAACTTACCACACTTATGCTAGCACCTCTACTTAAAATGATTTCTCCTAGTTCTTTACCTGACAAACTATCTCTTACAATCCAGAAACAACGAGAACTCTTCTGAAAACCATCCCCAACCACCCCCACCCTCCGGGGGCTGTGGAGAGCTCTGTTTGAGCTCTGCCTGCACTGCATTGCAATTATCAGCACATTAGGCCCCACTAGCCTGTGTGATCTGAAGGGCGGGGCCTAATCACGCTTATTCGTACTTCCACGCTGAGAGCCTCTTTATATACATATATTATATGTATAACATTGGACTATTTTCTTTTTGAAAACTAATACACTGTGACCTGTTGCAGGCTTCTACTATATCTTCAACTCAATTATTTGCCCTGAAAGAATGAAAAGAGGGGGTGTTAAAAAATTTAGGTATTGCCCTAAATAGAGGCTCATAAATGAAAAATTGCCAAGTGTTTATCACATAACAGAAAATCAGCAATGACAAAACAGCTCGTACTGATACGGGGCCAGCAGAGGGCTTTGAGAACTAGAACCCCATCTGGCAGTGGCGCTGACCCCAGGAATTACACCACTCCACTGCCGGGGAGTCTGCGGAGCTTCCCGAGGGATTCCCGGCTGGGAAATGCTTGTCTTGAGCAAGGAACACCAGCCTGGAGTTGCATTTTTCTAAACTGCAGTATCCCCTTTAGTAGTTTATAAAATCACTTTAGTAGGTCTAATCAGTATTTTTTAAAAAGTGAAACAGATTAAAATTGAAAAGACTATGTACACTGCATGTGATAGAAATATTATTTCATGAGACTTGTTTTGGTACATACACATTTGCATTGTGACTCAGCCCTGAATTGTGATATAAAATGAATATGTATGAATCCATGTAGATATAAAATGTATTCCTTACTGTGTGTCAGGATCAAACAGTTTGAAAGCTACTGGAATAGGCTGAGAGCATATACTGTCTATCTTCCAATCTGGTTTAAGGCAGCTTAAATGCTAATGTAGCCCTTGCTCCCACTTCAGTGAAGTGTTAGGCAACAATACTGACACTAACCACAACAATGATAATGGAACTAACATTTACTGAGCTCCTATTATGAGCCAATAACTAGTTAAGTGCTTTAGATATGTGATTTCATTTATTCCTTGTAAACACTCTGAAGCTAGATACTATTTATCATCTCCATTTTACAGAGGAGGACATTGAGAATTAAGAGGTTTCCTAAATTGCTCAATATCATGCACTAAATGGTAGGGCTATGGTTTGATTTGAATATAACAGAATTAAACTCCCAGTGTCCTGTCACCTAAGCAACCATGTCACTATGGATTTCTCCAGCAGGGACTGGCTAAGGGGACTGCTTCAGGGAAAAAGTGGTACAGTTCATTCATCACACCCATGGGGATGGGTTGCTGTTCAGGGCCTGAGTGTGTCCTAAGCATGAGGGTTATTCTATTTCATGTGGACAAAAGAGAGAAGGAAAAGAGATGCTTGGGTTAGATGTGGGGATGGGGTCCTGATTTATCAAAGTGTGAGATACGAGCTACAGTCCGTGAACACTGCACTGAAATGGACTGAACTCAGCCTTGTCCCAATTATGCTGTTTTTGCTAACTGACCTTGACATTGAATATCTCAAAGCCTCTTAAAATATCCATTGTGGAGGTTATTTAAAGGATAAAATAACACTTGTAGGGAAACTTATAGGCCGTGGAAATGTAAAGAATGCACAATTTAAAAAGCTGGCTCTAAGCCCTGGACGGGTGACTCAGTTGGTTGGAGCATTTTCCCTCTACACCAAAGGGTTGTGGGTAAAATCCTGGTGGGGGTATGTTAGGGAGACAACTGATCCATGTTTCTCTCTTTCCCTTCCTCTCTCTAAAATCAATAAAGCATATCCTTGGGTGAGGATTAAAAAGAAAAGCTGCCTCCATGGGGCTACTTCTTAAATATACTTAGCTATTGTCTTTTTTAATTTAAGAGGGAGTACCATTTTCTCATCATGGCATTTTTCAACTAAAAAAATAATTTATCCAAGTTGTGAGTATATGAGCTTTCCCCTCCTATGGGGCTCAAAAGCTGTTTTAATTTTAAATGAAAACCAATGTGATCTATTCACATCTGTATTTTTCTAAACTGTTCTTGTGTAAAGAAGGTTGCTTCCCTGCTTTAGTAACTCCTCAGCATAAACATCAATGCAAAGTGACGCGCTGACAGAAAAAGGGGGGAGGAGAAGGAGAAGATCAATCTAAACTGTGGATCAGAGGCGTGAGAAAGGCACACGGTGGGAATAACATAAAACCAGACCCAAGACTCTATGAAAATGAAAGAAAAGAAAAACAGTGAAAACGCACAGAAGAGAATAAAGGACAAGGTTAAGAGAATGAGTTAGATATAGGAGGCTCTTCCCATACAACGGAAATGGGAACCTTCAGGAGAAGGAGCACTCGGCTCCTTGGAAGAATGCAGAGACTGCACCTGAGGGTGGGCACGAGAAACGACCGTGTGCAGGGCATGCACGTGTCTACATCTATGCTTGTCCTGATCTCATGTCTGCCAGTCACTTTCACGTCAATGAGGAATCTCCTGAGACCTCCCCAACTTGCTTGCCCCAGTCCATTCTCGCTACTCTGGGTGAGGAGGAAGGACACTAGCGGAAGAGACAGAGGAAGCAGATCTAGGGATCAGAGAAGCTGAAGGTATCAGCAAACAGGAGAACCTTACCTTTCAATTAATCACTGGAACCTTCGAAGATCTAGGAAGCTTTGGGAGTAAAGGATTAAGAGATGGACTAAAAGAATAAGATTTATGTTTCTGAATCTTAGCATAAGATACCAGAAGGATGGGCACCTAAGTTAGGACCAAAAAAACTGTCATACCAAGTTCACAGAAATTTTCAGAAGGAAATATTTGAGAAGGCAGTCAGAAATAATAATTATAACCTCATTTTGCAGAGAATGAATCAGGAACAAATTACATACAAGATTTTAACCCTAGAGGTAAATATACCTTTCAGGTACCTTTGAGAAGAACAAAGAAGGGACTCATAATTAGAATGTAACCACTAGTGGGGATCCCCTTGTCTAAAAAGGTCTGAGGCCAATATTAAAAAAAAAGAAGATATGCAGTTGAGACAGACTGATGAATATTCATGAGCCTTGTACCAACACAGAAGGAGAGACAATTTGAAAGCTAAAATTTACATCACAGGTTATTTGGCCAAATGGAGAAACAGATACTGTGTTCTTGATGATGTTTATAAAAGTGAAACATAAGAGTCAGGTGTGGGGTTTCAACTAACCAAACATATGCTGGAAACTTCCTTCTATTTATGGAAAAATTGCTGACATGCCTTGCTGACAACGTAAACTTTCACATGGTGAATAGAATAGTAAGAGGGACAGCAACCTTGAACCGAATTTGATAGGAGGGCTTGGGAACATAAATACCAGGAACTTTAGAAGAAAGTCATTGTACTATCTTTTAGTTCAAATTCACCAAGAAAGAAATGATGAGAAGAATGAAGTTTGCGTCTTCAACTGGAAAACAATGGTATTTTAAAAAGTCAGTAAAAAGCAGAATTTCTATGTTGTAGTCCTAACTCCTAGTACTTTGGAATGTGACCTCATTTGGAAATGTGAACTCACTGCAGTTGTGATTAGTTAAGATGAGCTCGCATCGCACTCAGGAATCTGGTGGGCCCCCAGTTCTCTACAATCAGTGTCCTTATGGAAGGGAAATTTGGAGACAGACACATAGGGAGAATGCCATGTGAAGATGAAAGCAGGAATCTAGGTGATGCTTCTACAAGCTAAAGAAGGTCAAAGATGATCAGCAAACCGTTCGAAGCTGGAAGCCAGGGAAAAGGCATGGGGCGGGTCGTTCCTCACAGCCCGCAGAAGGTGCCGACCCTGACAACATCTTGATTTTGGACGTCTAGCCACCAGAACTGTGAGACAACAATTAAGTCACACAGTTTGTGGCACTTTGTCACAGTAGCCCTAGCAAACTAATACAGTGACCTGAAGGCCTAATTGGGAAGATGACTGAAGAAGGTTGAAAGCTCTTAGGAAATCCTCCAAAGACAGGAAGTTCTGATGAAGGAAAAAATAATGAGCACCTGAAGCACCCACATGACTGCCACGAGATGTGCACAGTACTCTTGGCTTTCAAAGATTCAAAGGGGAAAACAATACATGTTGTAAAACAGAGTCTTCATGTTGATTCTGAACCAAATTCCAGAATGGATTATTAATGAACTGTTTATGGTTGCTTAGAAAAAAGCGCTAATTCCTAGAAGAAGTCATTTTACACTGATCATAAAATCTTTAGTGATACAGTTAACAGTTTGAAAGACTGGGAAATACTGGATTAAAAAAGATGGGAAGAGGCCCTGGCTGGTGTGGCTCAGTGGATTGTGTGCGGGCCTGCGAACCAAACCACCACAGTTTGATTCCCAGTCAGGGCACATGCCTGGGTTGCAGACTAGTTCCCAGCAGCGTACACACGAGGGGCAACCATACATCGATGTTTCTCTCCCTTTTTCCTTCCCTCCCTCTCTAAATAAATAAAATCTCAAAAAAAAAAAAAAAAGATGGGAAGAGATAGAGAAACATGGGCCAGGTGAGTTTCAGTGGGAGGAATCATAACCAGTGCAGATGGACAGATCTAGCTCCTGCTTCAGAGAGGCTGAAGAGATACTATTTTGCTGAAGGCTCCTGTCCTTACCTCTGGTTTGTGCAACTTTTTTTTTGAACACAAAAATCACATGAGAACAGTGATCAAATGTGTGGATGACAGGAGGCTTGGAAAAACAGCTGATACAGTAGTGGACAGAATCAAGATCAAATGTCTAAAACAACATTCCACCATTGAAAAAGATACCATTTTGTAGGTACAGGACACAGTATATTTAGGCCAAAAAACTACCCCTCAAAACTAGTATATTGTTAAGAACAATAGCTCATGGGAAGCAGACAGATTTCAAGTGATACTAATTTCAACACGGTCCAGCCTAGGGATGGGGCTGTCCCTAATGCAGTCTTGGGTTCTTCACTCTGTGGAGAGTCCACAGAATGAAAGGGACGGTGCATGGATGGCAACCATCAGAATTGGGGATATTTAGAGTTCACTACAGTTGTCAGAGAAAAAAAGAATGTTTTTTAAATCTGAAGGGCTACAGTATGGGAGATGAGGTTTAGAATTTTCTAACTCTAGAAGTCGCAGAACAAGGGTCAATATGTAAGTTACATGGTGGTCGACTTTCAATTCAGTATAAGAAGGAATTTCTAACAGTTGCTTACAAATGCAAGGGACTGCTTTTGGGGGAAGAAATGAGTTTCCCTTTACTGATGATGTTCAAGCAGAGCCAAGATCACATACTAGGTGTGTCTGCAGGGGACTCGGCATTGCCTGGGAGTGAGAGAAAGGGTCTCCCCATCCGAAACTCTGCTGTGAAGCAGTAGCACTTCACTGTGGAGAAGCCTGGTCTGGAATTTTCTCTGAAGAGTAAAAGAATCTAAGAAAACCGGAGACCAAGTTAGAGCACTCTTTGGAGCTAAACAAACCAACACCTAGCCTTTCTCTATTTCCTCATGCCAGCAGCTACAGCCCAGAGGGGAAAAAAGGTAACCTGAATATCTTTCTCTCTTATTCTTCAAACTAACATTTCAGAGAACAGGAGTAAAAATAATGGGCACTGGGGGCACAGCCCTTGGGCCTAGATGACATCTCCCCACATGTTTATGCTTCTGTGATCAGTCTTTCTACTTGCAAACCGCAGCACCATGAAAGGGCTGCCTCACCATCTGCAATGCTCCCCTCACCCCCAATGCTTCCACAAACTCATCAATATGTGAGATTTCAGCAATTACTACACCTCTTGTCTCAAGAGGTGAAACTCATGTGTCACCACAGTAGAAATAAATTTGATCAATCATTTAGAAAAGAGTAATTAAAAACAATTTGAACCATAATTAGTTGATTTAAAGTATCTCTATCTAGAAAATTTTTTCTGCTTTTATGATTGTATCAGTGCTCAGTTATAAAATTGATCTTACTAACCTCCTCGAGCAAAGCTATTGGATGGGTTTACATCCAAATGTCCTGGCACTACCTGCTTAAGCACAGTGGACATTCTTGCAGTTCTCCTTTCAGTCCCTAAAGTCAGCCAAAAAGAAGAACAAAAACCATGTCGTTCGGGTTAACATTACTCAAATGACAAAAAGTTATCTTCATGTGTAGCATGTCTAATTGCTGCCAAACATTGTACTTTTTAAGTACCCAAAGCTTTAACAGAGATAACAAGGCACTGTTACTATTTCCTCAGAGATACACGCATTTGCAAGATTACAGGGAGTTAGGTTTGGCAAGTGCAATCAGAGAATTCAATGACAAATGAAGCAAGGCATGCATGGTGTTACTTTACAAGAAAAGCCACTTTCTGCTTATGTTGAGCTAATTCAAATAGCTGATTAAGCCAAGGAGACCAACTTTTCAAGTCACATGCTCCTGTGTCTAACACATTAGGGTTACCTCTACATGAACCCTTTGGGGTTCCATCACATGATAACTGAAACAAAATATTAGTACAAGTCTTAATGGTTTCATTCAAATCTAGTGAAAACAAACTCTATTGCAAATCACAAAAGACTGCAGAAATTTTAGAAATTTTAAACATGATGATTTTAATAATATACATTTAATAAACATGTTCACCTTATGCACTTAATGTTGTGATAATATTGTAAGATCTATGTAAAATAGATTCTAGGAAAAAAACCCAGATGACTTTATATATCTTCCCCACCTCCTCTCTAATATCAGAGGCACGATATTACTCTTTTGAAAGGGAAATAGTTGAATCTCTAAATTTGGTTACTGTTTACTAGAATTTAACAGTGGTGCCCTGATTTCTAACTAGGAGCCAAAGTTACAGCTCTGCAAGGTAAAACTTTAAAGGGTCACGCTGAACAGTGCAAATAACTAAAGAGATTAACCCTAAGAATGAATCTGACTTTCCATAGTTGGCAAGAACGAAAGTATCAAATGTTACCTGGAGGCAGAGCAAGTGCTGGCCTGACGGTGAGGCTGTTATTGCCACGGAGTTTCTGATGGACAGAAACTGCACTCAGGATGGCTTGCAAGTACTTTTCTTGTTCTATGCTGCTGGAAGATTCTAATGAGGAGGTAGGAGCTATAAAAGAAAAAGATATTGAATAAAACAACCTGTCTATATGTTAATAAGTCTTTTATACATGTCCCCCCCCTTTTTCTTTCTATATACAGTCTTCAAGTTACCACACCCAAATACAGAAACCAGCCCCACTTAAAGCTCCAAACTATCAAGTGGCTAATCCTCCTATGATATTGGTTTCACCACACCTACTCCTTGATTGCCTCATCCTTCTCCCAGAAAGAGCCTACGTGTGGAAAACCTGCACAGGGCTGTCCTTCCAAGAGCAGGCAGTGTTACTCATTACCCAAGCCACTCAAATGGAGATTCATGAAAGACGACATCTTGATGACTTCCCCCGACCATCCTGTCCATGCTCCTGTGTAGGGGTAGAGGGTGGAGTATTCCCTCGGCAACCAGGAAGGGGCAGAGGTTGTAATTTCCCAGGGCCAGTAGCTTTACTCCAATTCTGCCACACGGGCTGAACAGGGGACATGAACGCACTGGGGTTGTTTGTGGGAAGAGTGGAGGAAGATGGGGAGAAGACAGGAGCAGCTACTGCTAGGTTCCCTGGACCTTCTAAAAGACGGGAAAAAATATGCACAGATGGAAGCAACTGTGAGAGCAGTTCTGGGTGGGAGGGAGCCTGAGCCTGGTTTGCGGGGAGCACAACAGAAATCACTGAACGGGCCCAGACACTGTGTAAAGGGGCATCAGGAGGGTCTTAGTAGAAAGACAACAGAGATTAACAAATTCTCTTAAACCAGAACAGGAAATAGTTAGAATTTCATATTTTATCAGTTTTCAGATGCCATCATTATGTTTTATTAAGAAATGCACCATTATTTTATGTACTAAGAATAAAAACTGCCATTTAAATTAGGATACAACTCTTTCGGATCATTTCAATTATAAGATGTATCCTGATTTCAAATATATTAAAATGTGAGCAAATATATAAGCTAAAATAATATAAAATACAGTACTTATATTAGATTAAAAATAAGGAACTAGTGGAATAAAATGGTTTCCATTTTTTCCAACTAACAGCTCAGAAATATGCTCATCAAGGTTCCCGAAATGACTCACTCACTTTATTTAACTTACATACACTGTGTTCTATTGTACCCACTAAATAGCTTGGGAGGGTTCCTCAGGGAGAAACAGTTCAGAGCCAGGGAGAATAAATACGACAGTGACAAGACCGTGTCGGGTGTGTGCTGCCCTCAGTCACCTGAACGATCAGAGGCACGGTAGCCAGCTTTTTATTCTCTGGAGGGAAGCAGATGAGAATGAAGAAGAGATACCAAAAAGCACATGATTTCACTGGCTGAACCACAGAACTGGACTTGCCTCATTTTGAAAGAGGAAAAAATGCAGCCATCCCTAAATTGGATCTGATATCTTAGTGGCCCACTGTTTTTTACTGAGCATCTATTATAAGCTGGAAGTTATGAGAAAGTTCAGCAAAATATAGCTCCTGACTTGACTTCAAGGCCTCAGATTTGGTGCTCATAAGTATCCTCAGAAAGATAGATAGTGGCACTTATTATTTGTTTTCTTAAGTTGGCCAACTTCTAGCGTCCAAAAAACCTCTATGCTTGAGAGATCCGGAAACAGCACTTTGGTCATTGGTTTGCTGACTTGTTTTCTGTGTGTGTGTGACTCGTAGGAATGAAATAGGGTATCTCATACCACATGGGACACGATCCCTACTTACCCTCAAAGCTGTTAAATATATCTGAATGCTTCCCAGAAGAAAAGAAAAAGAATAGTATAATTTATTTCCCATATGTGGATATTTTGGTCTGTTGAAATGAAAACAACCTAGAACCGAAGACTTTATTACCGTATTTTTTGGACCATAAGATGCACCTAGGTTTTAGAGGAAAATAGAAAAAAATTTTTTGAAGCAAAAAATGTGGTAAAATATTTAATAACAAAAATAACATCATATTTCATCAATGTAAATGTAAGCAGAACTCAACAGCAGCATTAACAACCATTATTCCTCCCAAATTTGCAGGAGGGGAGAAAAAAAGGAAAAAAAAAAGGAAAAAAGTGTGTCTTATAGTCTGAAATACGGTATGTTAATTTCTATTAAGATTCAAATACAGACAGACATATTAAGATGTCAAATTCAAGGTGGAGCCCCACATTTTCAAGTGCAGTTCTTGTTCAATTTTGCACGTTGGGTCTGGCACAGGTGTGAGAGGCCTGGCAACAGGGAACAACCAGCATTCCCCAATTTTACTTCTTGTAGTTTTAGGAACACTCCGGAGTGAAGGATCATAATCGTGCTGTACAGAGATGCTTACCCGCATGGGGGGAGTTCTGAGATTTGAAAAGACCCACTACTCCCTTCCCATGGAATCCTCCAGATCGGAGGAGCAGGGTGCTGCTTCTTGAGTTCTTCCAACATACGACAGGCAGGCGATTGTGTCGGTAGCAGCGGGCTACTCTTGGTAAACTACTGTCCTGCACGGCTTGAGGTACGACTAAAAGGCCAGGATAGCTTTGGGGACATGGAGGGAGAAAGAGAATGGTTTGGGTGGATGAGGGAGAAGAAGGGTAGGGGGAGGAGAAGGGAAAAGAAATGGGGACAATGGGAGAGAGAGACATTATAAAAATATGAATACCATAATACCATAGTTTTTTTTCTTTTTATTTTAAGATCAAATCTCTAAGCTGGTTTATTTCTTTTACAATTTTTTCATTGCTTATTTCCCACAGTCATGTTCTAAGACTCAGAAACATTGGTTGAGAGGTAAGATGTGTATTTTAAACAAGGAACTCAGTCTCAAGTCAGTTCTTCAGGGGTTGAAAAAAGGCCTAAATGGTGAAAACAGTTAACTCACCCACTAATTTGTAGTTTTTCTTTTCCAAATAAGCCCCTTTCATTGCTACTGCAGACTTTTGCTGAATAGCCTTAGCTTAGAACATAAAGATGGTATGTAGAATTAGTTAGAAAGCTTCTGTTAAACTGATGACCTCCATTACCTTACACACTACTTTTCATCAACTTGGAATAAAGACTGTAAGATCAATGCAGTAATGCCAACTTGATGAGAATGACAAGTCACATGATTAGACTGCTGAAATGACGAGAGACTAGAGCACACTAATATCAGATGGCCTGATATGGTGAAAGGGTTAAAAATAAAACCAAATGGTTTCTTGTGTAATGAACATTTCTGTAGGTATAAAGAACAATATGCTTGACTGTCAAACAAAGTTAAATATTATATTAACACTACATGTTGATATTTTAAAAAGACTAGCTCATAAAACTACAAAATATGATGTTGGGAAAATAAGGGTACCTTGTTTTTATAGGTTAAGTATAATCTATAGATAAATATAAGAAGATAGTCAGGTTTCAGAGGCATCTCCTTCCTTTAGTTTATTTAGAAACATCACACTAAAGAGATTTCTAATCAATAACCTCCCACCTCTAAGCAATACTGTTGGTGTGGTTTTTTAAACTCTGGTAATATATGCCTAACATAACATTTAACATGGTATCCATTTCAGGTGTACAAGTTGGTGACTTAAGTACGTTCACAATACTGGGCAACCACAACTATCTATTTCCAGAACATCTAATCCCCTACCTTGATACACACCAGTGCTGAGAGGAGGGAGATGAAGTCCGGTTACGGTCATGGAAATCATAACCTTCAAGGACTTCAGTGAATGAATGACTTTCCATTCTTAACTAGTGATGCCTTGAAAGCATTCTGAAAGCCTAGCATGTGGTGCCCCAGGAAGGTGGAGGCTGGGATTTCTAACACCACAAACTGATGAAGAGATCTTGCTGAAGACAGAGTCATTCCAGAAGACTGGAAAAGTAGTTCCATCATCAGGGCCCTCTATTTCTAACTCCACTTTAATATGTGTTTTCCTGCTCAGTTGTTCCTGGATACACTGATCTCGTATATTAGGTAAGGGAGTGTTGCTCAATGGCTCCAGGGGCTGCTTTAGTCACTGGGAAAGAACCAGCATACCCTTCACTCCTTGTCCCCCTTGTGGACTGTTCCCTCCTTCCATGGGACATGAGCACCACAAACCAAGCTTTCTACACACAGGATCCACACTTTCTTGCCCCCAGGCATGGGCTTGAGTGACAACCGGACAACCACTACTATTGGGCAACTCCTGTCGAGTCTGAAGGCCAGCAGAGGCTACTCTAAGTGCGAGTCTCATTTGGCGATGAAAGGGAAGTCCATTTACCTGCCACCCAGCCCATCCCACTACCCACAGCCATCAGCTCTGGGCGTCAGTGTAAGCCTCAGGAGGTAAGACTGGCTTTCAGAAGCTGCTGCAGAAGCTTTTAAATCAAAAACTAACACCAGTGCTTAAAACGTAAATGCACTACCATCTAACTTAGCTTAAGAAGTGGACCATTCCCAGCATCCAAGGAAATTCATTTGTGTCTTCTCCCAGTCACTACTTCCCACTCCTCCTCAAAGATTATCACTACACCCTTGAGTGCCAGCAACATGGATGAGGTGTGCCTGTTTTTGAACTTTAGAAAAAAGAATGAGCAGAAGTCACTCCTTTGTTTCTAACTTGGTTTGCTCGACATGTTTGTCAGAGCCATCCATGTGATCGCATGTACTGTAGTTTGTTCACTTTTGTCACTGCACAGCATCCCACTGTGTGGTGGCGCTGTCTAGTCCACTGCTGGTTTCTGGTTTTTGACTATGTAAGAAAATGTTCCCGTGAACATTTCTGTAGATTTCTTTTGGGAGCACGTATACATTTCTGTAGGAAATTCTACCCAGCCCGGGAGCAGAAGCAGCAGGTAACGGGCTATGCACACGTTCACTAGGTGTTTAGATGTTAGGAGATGCTGCCAGACAGCTTTCAAAGTCTTTCAATCAGTTTCCAGTCCCGGCAGCAGTGAATGAAGAGTTCCGCTTGCTCAACACTCTCCCTGCACTTTGTATTGCTAGTCTTTTAAATTTCAGCCATTTCTGCAGGTATAAAGTAGTCTCAATGGGACTTTAGTTTGTATTTGTTTGAAGACTAATAATTTGAGCATCTGTTTAGACATTCATTGGCCACCAGAACATCTTCTTTTGTGAAGTGCCTATTTAGATCTCTTGCCATTTTTACGACCTTTTTACTCTCCTAATGGTGTCTTCTGATGTGAGAAGTTCTTATCAATCTTTTACTTTATGGGCAGTGCTTTTCCTGTCCTAGGAAATTGTAAGGTCATTAAGGTATTCTCCTATCTTTTAGAAGCTTTCTTGTTTTAACCTTTCACATGTAGATCTATAGACCAATGGAACTGATTTTTGTGTATGGTGTAAGGCAGTGGTCAAACTTAATTTTTTTCTTGTATGGATATCCAGCACCATTTATTGAAAAAACATTTTTCACCCTGGGTGGTTATAGCTCAGTGGACTGAGCATGGGCCTGCGACCTAGAGGATCATGGTTCAATTCCCAGTCAGGGCACATGCCTGGGTTGCAGCCCAGTTCCCAGTGGGGGACACACAAGAGGCAACCACACATTGATATTTCTCTACCTCTCTCCTTCCCTTCCCCTCTAAAGATAAATAAATAAAAAATCTAAAACAAACAAACAACCAAACATTTTCTCCCTGCTTTTAAGTGCTGTCTTTATCTTAAATAAAGTGTTCATATATGTTGAACTCTTTCTAGCTTCTCTATTCTGCCCTGCTGGTCTGCTCACCTACCCTTGTACCAGTCCCATGCTGTCTTAATCACTGCAGTGTTACAAAACAATCCTGTAGTATTATTAAAATACCCTGTAGTTTCATTTTATAAGCCTATTCTGACTACTCTTGGCCTTTGCATTTTTTAAAAAAATAATTTTATTTTATTTATTTATTTTTTTAAAGATTTTATTTATTTATCTTTAGAGGAGAAGGAGAAAGGGAGAGAAACATCAATGTATGGTTGCCTTTCATGCATCCCCTGCTGGGAACAGGCCTGCAGAGAACCAGCCTGCAACCTAGGCATGTGCCCTAACTGGGAATTGAACCGAGATCCTCTGGTTTGCAGGCCTGTGCTCAATCCGCTGAGCTACACCAGCCAGGGCAACCTTTGCATTTTTTATATAACTCTTAAAAATTATCATTTCAATTTCCATAAACATTTTTCTGGGATTTTGATTCAGACCACACTCAATCTACAGGTCAGTATTTGGAGAAATCACAGTTTTAGAGTATTATGTATTCTAATCTAAGAACATGAAATATCTTTTTACTTGTATCTTTAATGGTCCTCAATATTGTTTTGACTGTTTGGTGCAGAGGTCTTACATGTTTTTCACTAGATTTATTCCTAAGTATTTAATGTTTTTACTGATACTCTAAATAATATCAGTAGTACCAAAATAACATTACTTAAAATTTTATTTTTAAATTATTTGTATTTGGTATATACATGACTAATTATTGTATAATGGTCTTATACTAGAGACCTTACTAAATTTACTTTTTAATTTAAAAAATTTATCTGTAGATTCCTTCAGATTTTCTATGCATACAATCAGGTCATTTACAAATAATAATAATTTTATTTCTTTCTTTTGCCATCTTTATACCTTTCAATTTTTATTTTTTGTCTTTTTTCATGGCCCAGGACCTCTGGTGAAACAGCAAATAGAAGGTAACAGTGGGCATCCTTGTCTCGTCTTACTCCCGAAGTTTTCAATCTCTTACCATTAAATAATTTTTGCTGTAAAAATTTTAGACACTAGATTAAAAAGCTTCCTTTCTATTTTAATTTGTTGAAATTTCTTTTTGTAAAAATCATAAAATTATTTTCTGTGTATAATGAACTTACATTTTTCTTCTTAATTCTTTTAATGTGGCATCTTATGCTGATTGATTATCAGCCTTCAAGCCAGTTGTTTTCCTGTGATAAATTTCACTTGGTCATAGTGAACTGTCATGTGTGAAATGAACCTTGGTCTTTATTGCTAGTAAAATTTTTCTTTAAAATCTACTTAGATACTTATATAGTTAATAACTTTTTAGAGGAAGTTCTGCACGGTGTATTTGTTCTGTTTCTTTACTCTCAATCTTTAGTATTCTTGTAGATTAGTTATATCCCTTAAAAAAGCAGCAGTAAGCTTTTAAAAATTCTGATAATCTTTTTATTTTAATTGGAACATTTAGTCAATTTATAAGTAATTTAATTACTAATATATTTGAATTTAAATTTATCATATTACTATTTGCTTTCTATTTGTTCTATCTGTCCCATGTTTTCTTATTTCTTTCTTGCCTTCTTTTGAAAACTAGAGGGATACATATTATTTTATATCATCATAAATGCTTTATAACGTGTTCTATCACATTTTTATTTTGTTTCTGACAAGCTGAAATGATAAACGAGGTCTATTTTCTCACTGGCAGGCATGATTATGATAGCCAGCTCCCTGAATGGCAGGGTGTCACACCCTGACACTGTCACTTACACTGACCTACAAAGAGAATTCAGTTAGAAGGACAAAGCACCAGGGTGAGTTACTGCACACTCAACAGAATCACAACCTTCCAGTACCTAGGGCAAACTTCTTATTTGGCCTAAATCTCAAACTATATTCCCAACTTGTTTTTAAAGTTTCACATTGGTAGTATTTGTAAACTTCAATTGTCATTTAAAGTGAGATCGTTAATAGTTCTTCTAGAACAGTGGGGTTGAAACTAATAGTAACCCTGAGACAACTTTCTAATATATGTACAGGGCTTACAGTTTACAAATTGCTTCACAGAATTATTCTATTTATCCACACCAGGAATTTATAAAATGCAAAGCAAAGAATTCCCCTGGAGATGGGAATGATTTAACTGTGGATGGTAAAAATACAGTTTTAAAAAACAAAGCATGGCACAGGGCTTAACAGACAGACAAAACAGCAAGAGGTAAGAATGGAAGAAGATTATGTGTTCATTGACATTCCTTGTCAATGGAATATTCCTTGGAAAATATTCTAATTAGATAGCATAAGAAAACCCTGTCTACACTTGGGTCCGCAAATTACAGCCTCTGGGCCAAAACTGGCTCTGCCCTTTCATTCGCTGACTGTCTATGGCTGCTTTTGGAGCAGAGTTGAGTAATTGCAACAACAGACCATATGGCCTTCAAAACTGAAAATATGTACTAACTGGTCTTTCATAGGAAAAATTTATAGTCCCCTGGCCAATAGCAGACTCTCATCTTTTCTATCTGCCTGGGCAACTCCTACTCTTTCTTCGGTTACCTTCAGGCATAGTAAAAAAGAGGCAAATGGGAAAAGACAAATAAGGGGAATTCATAAAGGGGCCAAAAGCTGTTGTTAGCCCTCACCTTCTGATCTAATACAGGCACTGTTCAGTGATGTCACTGCGCTTCTGACAATGCCAGTGAGGTGGTGCTCATGCTGCATGAAGGGTCCCTTAATCACACATATCCCTGGGGAACTCCCTCCTATTTTCTGACATTTTTCTCTCTCTGGGCTATGGATGCAAATAGCCCACTCAAGACTCAAAAGGAAGAAAGGAAAGAAGGTCTCTTTTGGAGCCCACAAACACACTAACCTCCGGCAGAGTGAATACATCCTGTTGGAGGCCGTAATTCGAAAATACTCTGGTTTTGAGCGAGAAGAGCTGCCGCTTATGGTTCCCAAACCTAAACGCTGATAGTCTCTGAAACAAGCTTTTTCCACTAACTGTTCCATAGTAGACTTCTCCGAGGCCTTCAGAGTGGTACTGGTGGGGAGTTCACTGTCATCTGAAACTGTGATGGCAGAAAGAAGTTTTGAAAAAATGATATAGCTCAAAGTAGATTAAAAACTTCCTTTTGGAGAGGTTTCTTAAACCAAGGGAGGTTTCTATCAAGGCTCCAGATCCATGAATATCACAAATCATGTAACTTCTAGCAGAAATCATTATGTTCAAACAATCTCAACAGTAATGAATATTCAAGAAATAAAATATCAGGAGCTCAACTGACTCAAAACGTCAGCGGAATTAATTCAACATGTCTAACAAAATATGATTTTGAATTCATTACCCATAGTTTTAAGTCAGGTGTACTTATTAATGCCAGAGTATAATTATTTCTATTTAGATCTCTAATACGATTTTTAATATGATCACTATACAAAGTGATCATCACCCAGGTTTTAGTTAACTTTTCAAAGCATTAACTTTTATTAGAAATTTCTAGATTAAGCAGAAGTTCACTGGTGGGAAAAGACCTTTCTTAGAGAGGTATAAAGAAGTTATACTTTTTCCCCTGAAATATTTTTGTCACAGGACATGGTATCCATGGGAAACCCCCTCACAGCTGTGCAATCACAGGTTTTAGATGTGGAAGAATCTACCCGATAATCAAGTATTTCAGGGAGGATTAAATAAGACTCATTAGTAATTGGTACTATAGGTTCTAACTAAAAAAACCTCTACTGTTAACTCTCTGAATTTACTTTTCTATTTACTTGTAAAGTAAGAGAAGTCAAATTAAAGCTTTCAAAATTTTTGGAAATATTCTCAAAGTTACAATGTCAAAGGGAAAATTATGGCTCTCTTCCATAAAAGAAAAAAAAAAAACAACCACCCAACCTAACAGCTTATCCCTATAAATACCACAAATATATAACTTGGTATATTAGTTCATGAACTTCACAATGCAAGTATATTATCAGGTATTAGTTTAGTGTAGCCTTTTTCTTTTCAGAGGAGCCAGGAACATTATAGAATTTGGTCTTTTGGCAAAATAACCACCACAAAATATAGTTTTTGTTCCACGATGTCACAAACATGTTGAATTAGAGGAGTCACTAGTGATGGGTGGTAATCATTTTTTAGGGCTTTCCATGCGACTGTGCAGAGGCCCGGGTTCCAACAAATGGTCACTTCGGTCATGGATCGGCAAGTCTCTTCATTGTCGCTGGGGGCGAGATGAAGATGTACTAAAATGGAGACATTTAGCCAGTGATATCTTTCAGATGAGGCTTATTATTATTATTTTGTAACTGTATAAACACTGATGATTGACTCTGAATCTGAGAAGAAAAAGGGTACAATGGCACCCTGCTTCTCTACTAGATCAAACTCTAGTGTTAAGTCCATAAGCATACTCCATACTGGGCTCAGGAGTAGAAAGCAGTCAGTCAGGGGGTTTGCTACTGGTTTTCTGCCCCTGTTTTCTTGACTGAGAGGTATCTCAGCTTCCAATTCTGTCCTTTTAAATATTTAGCAGGCATTTAAAAAATCATCTAAGAATCCCTTCGTCTTCCATCTGGATTAAGAATATCCACAATATTCTCACCAAGAACCCAAATCTTCAGTTGCAAATATCCAATGTTCTTATCTTCTTAGTCTTTATAACTCAATTTATTATGCAGTGGGGTTTCTTTCTGTTTCCCTTTAATAAGACCCATATACCCTTGGCTAATCAGCTCTACAGATTTAGTAAAGGAGAAGCATAATTTAACAAAATCTTACACGAACAATGGAATATTGGGATTTTTTTTAAGTTCTAAAAAGCTGCTAAGTGCCTCCCATCTTCTTATGAGATCTAGGTTTTTGTGAGTCAGGTTTAAGTGCAACTAGTCTTAGTGCCTCATTCTTACTCATATAAGGCGAAAGAACGAAATTCATTCATGAAGGAAGAACAAGTTCTCACATACCAGATATGTCATCTTCTTCATTCCACCCAGGACGATTCACTCTCTCTTCCACAATTGTCCCTGTCCTCTTCTTCAATAAGTACTGACGCCCAATGGTCATTTTCCCTGCCCTTTTGGCTCCTTTCACAATTGTTTTTGAGAAGGTGCTACAAGCCATAAAACCAAAGAGAATGTCAATTTGTATGAAGACATCACCCATATTTCTGATGGCCCCAAAGCTCAACTTGTTTCTCCTCCATTTCCATAGCTGCTAGTATTGTAGCTACTAGTATTGTATCCAGACCTGCATTAAGCCTCTCCTTCTTTAGGTTACTTTTTACATGGCAGCAGACCAATTCCCAATAAAACACTGCTGCCACCAGACCACTGTTTTAGGTAAAAGGTGCAAGAACATGTAGCGGGACACAAAGCACTTCTCACCCCCAATCTAGGGCTGTAACTCTCCTTTGTACTAGGGCTGTAACTCTTCTGTAAATTTGAAATTGTATTAAAACAAAAAGTTACAAAAAAAAAAAAGACTTCCATTTTTAGATCAAAGCAAAATGTCTACTAGACCTGGATATCACTGAAAACTGAATGGATTGTTCAAAGGAGGTTAGCAAGTGATCTTTATGGAAAAAAGGAAAATAGAATTTCACATGTAAAAATGGATCATGAGCATAGACATGAGAGTCAAGCCTCTTGCAGCTTTCATTTTTGAAACCTATTATGAATATCAATGCTGCCTTCTGAGCCTAGTCCAACAGGCTCGACAGCACGGCAAAGAAAGATAGCAGCAGTCCTTACGCCTGGACCCAAGGGACAGGCCACTTCCCCCGCCAGTTGACTGTGCAGGGCTAAAGTGAAGAGAGCAGGTGGTGTTCTTACCGAAAGGAAGTGTTCTTTTCCTTCTGTTTGGGTAAAATTATTTGTGGGGTAGTTTGCCCAGTAGCAAAAGCAAAGGTGGTGAAAATGGACTGAGGGTAACGGAACTTCATCAGCTGCTTCTTAAAGATCTCTACTACTTCTGGACTCACTTCTTCATCAAACGCTACTTTAATCAACTAGAAACAAAGAGATTAAACATATCCAAAGCATTAAGGAATTACAGATAATTGCCCCCAAATTACTAAAATAACAAAAAATAACAATAATAAATGGCAAGAGTTTGCAGGTTGAGGGGACTTTGGATGTTATGCAACAGAATTTTTTAATTTTAAAAATAAAAATGATGGCTCAGAGAGGTTTAATTGACACAGATGTTTAGTTAGCAAGAAAAATCATGTATCTTGCAGTCGCCTCGCTTTCCAGCTGCCTTTTCTCTGGTGTGATAGGGAAGTTAACTGCTAGTGGCTGAAGGAGGAACCACGACCTTCTCACTTCTCAACTCCTGGCTCTAGATAGGGAATTTGGCCTGACCAGGTCTCTTCCTACCCTGAGACATTATAAATCTAGTAAAAAAAAACCCAGTGTGACTGGAATCCCAACCAGGATAGTCAGCAATATTCTAATTAGAGTCCTTTGGCAGTTGCAACAGTGAAGAAATCTCTAGGAAGTCACTGCTCTCAGGTGATGGGAGAAGGTCTGCAGCCCAGAGATCTGCAGCCTCACATTCCCATTTGTTTTTTTGCCTTGCATTAAGAATAGCAAGGCAAAAAACAAAGAAAACACCACTCATCCAGCATCTGGTCTGCATCAGTAATTCCTATGTTCAGAGCTCCCTGAAGCAGATGCTGAGCAAACTGCTTCCTACGTAAAGGCTTTCTCAAACACAAACTGAGGCATGACTTGGCAGAGAACAAAAGTCAGTTGTGTGTGTCTGAATTTCTAAGATCACTGAATACTGACTGATAATCTGTTGATATTCTGTGTTGGCCACAGAGCTCAGGAAATGAGGGATTAAATCCAAGACTACTCACCTGTTACACAGTTGAAGATTATCCTCTCAGACCCTCTGATCCTCCTCATCTATTAACCGCTGACCACATGACCAGAGAAAGTGGCCTGACATCATTTGTAGAAAACTGTTAAATAACAGAAGAATAGCCCCCTTTCTTAATACCTGAAAAGATGCTGATGTGATCTGTAGTCCTTCTTGCATGTTCTGCTGTAGCTGGTTCTGCACTGTGATCTTCTTCTCCTTGGTGATGGAGGCAATCGGAATACTTCGCATAACCGTTTGCTCACCAACTACAGGAAGACAGGGCACAGACTCAGCAATAGCACATTCCAGCACATTTCTAGCATCTCTGCTGCTCATTCCATCAGCCTCTGCTGGAGGAATGCATCTGGAGAGGGAAATGCCCAGGAATGCAGAGAGAGAAAATGCTGTGATTCTGGACTCACATTCATTAATTTTATTGCATGGCCATTCACTTCTGCATGCTTGAAAGCTACAGAATGATTCCTGGAGGAAGTGAGAGGGAAGGTGAGCTTTGAAGAGAGTGTAGGTTTGAATCTGCAGAGGGGTAAAGGGAGGGCAGGTCAGACAGCCACACCAGGAACAGAACACGGGCAATAACAGACGAGGCCCCCAGCTCACAGGCCAGAGGGGTGACCTCTGAATCAAGTTTATGGGACTTCAGTGGCAATACATTTGTCCACTCATCATCATCAGAATTCCTTATTTCTTGGACCTGTCAATTCCTAACCTGGAATATTCATGTTAAGCTCATACTCAGAGGCTAAACAAAATCAGGATGTACATAGAATTTAAAGTTCATGGATGTATCCAACACCCACGTTTATATAACATATCTAAAATGATCAGATTTCTCTGGGTACTATGAAGGACAAATAGTACATTAAAAATTTAAAAAGAGAAATAAACTGAAAGAGGCGAATAAAAAGGTTTTCTCTAATAAAAAATGTGAAATTAACCCCCAAATTGACAGGATAAAACAGGAGGACCATACAGCTTTCACACTAAGTATGCCACCGATTTGCTTGAAATAAATAAATTAGAGCAATTTAAATTGCTCTAATGATCAAGGGTCTCATATATTTATATGCCCAATATGTATGTTTATGGTCAATGAACTTACAAAAATACAAAAAATCGTAAGTACTGGATACATAGTATCTTGCAAAAATGCATATGCTTTCAAATACAAATGTAATTTATGTATAATAATTTGACAGTAGAGGGCAGAGAAATTTTGCTCTATTTTCACTCTTTAAAAAAATCAGCACATCTATTTCCATAGATTCATTTTGTTTACTAAAATTTATGAGCTTTTTGCTTACTATGCATTAAGCAATCTTTCATGACTGAGATAATGGACCATCTTGATTCTACCCACACAAGAGCTATACAACTGTGAGCTTTTCTAAGACATTACACTTCATATGTCTGAATTCCACTGTCTAACGGAATGCATGGCACACAGCCTGCAATCAGCAGACGCTGATGGGTGAGTACTTTCAGGTGAGGGAGGAACTTCAGTGACCGCTTGTCCCAATAGTGCCTAGTCCTCAGCACGTGTCACGGTGATTTCTGGGGGTTAAAAAATGTAGGATCCTAATTCAGGTTTTAATTCAATTGTTTGAGGATTGGGCTCAGAACTGGTATGTTAAAAAATATATATTTATTGATTTTACAAAGAGAAGAAGGAAGAGAAAGAGAGAGAGAGAAACATCTGTTGGTTGCCTCCCATATACACCCTGAGTGGGGAATTGAACCAGCAACCTAGGTATGTGTCCTGACAGGGGACTGAACCCACAGTCTTTTGGTGTATGAGACAACACTCCAACCAACAGAGTCGCATCGGCAAGGGAGTTAAAAAAAACAGCTTTCTAGATAATTCAAATTCTTCAGTCAAGGTTTGTGAACCACTGCGTTATCACTAATCAAGCTCAATTTGCTCGCTGTATCGAAGGGGAAGCGGATACCCAGAGAGGTTAGGGGACCTAAGCAACCAAGACTGGTCACAGCAATCTAAATCCAAGCTGCTTGGTTTGTAGTCCGATAGTTTTACCCAAACCCAGTAAGTTTTCCCATCAACTAGAATAGTTTGTAAAGAGACTACAGTGATTTTAAAGAGACTTGATAGGACACGCTACTCCTTTCTAACACAGAAGACTATGTAGGGTAATAGAAAATAGAAATGGAAGTTGAGGAAATGTAGTGAACAGAAGTTGCCTGCTAAGAGGGGAGTGGGGTTAGGTGAAATGGGATGAGAGTTGGGGTTAGTTAGCTGGTGCAGTACAACCCTGTGGTGCTTAGCACACTGTTCCAAAAAAAAGTTAGCTGTACGGTTGTATGTAGGACTCAGAAATGGGAAGCAAATCGGCAAAGGGCATTGTTAGCAACCAGATACTGTGACTATTCCCAGGTCACAATATGCTGCCAGTGAAATTATGATCATTTCAGTGAATTTACTGTTAAGAAGACATCCTTGGTTCTTCAAGTAAGAATCTCTGATCCAAATTATTGTTACCTGTGATAGACAAAAGTATTCTAAAAAAACCTCTGTGCGGCGTAAGGCTCACTTTGAATCTGAAATGATCTGCAAACCACTGTACGCAGATGGAATCAAGTCCTCGTGTAGGACCGACATATCCAGGTTCAGACAGCATAACATGAGCCGCACCTAGCTGATCATGGGGAGTCCCTCTGAACAGAATTCTGTACGTGGTGAGGAACAAGGCTCCTTCTGCTGGCAGCAGCTGGGGCCCTCCAAGAAGGCCTCCAGTGGCTTCTTCTCTCCCATCAGGATCCAACAGGACTCGGAGACCTTCACAAACAAGTTCCTCCCCTGGCAGAAGAGCAGGTCGAAGAATCTTGGGCTAACAACAGAAAAGGTATTTTAAACGTTATTCATGTGGGGTTTCCAGCACTTAGGCAAGGTTATCTTCCTGTTACAGATCTAAAATACCTGAGCCAGACTTCCCAAACAACCAAAATTAGAAAACAGATTTGGGAAGAGGCACAAATGTCATATCTGCGTGCAAGTGTGAAGAGATTCTCTGCAGCATCACTTATTAAAAGAAGTCACTGGAAATTACTAAAATGTTTGAAACATGTATTCAATGCAATCATTTAAAAATGACATGAATCTTTAAGTGTTAACACAGAATGATATTCAGAATACACTGTTAAGTAAAAAAACAAATTATAAACAAGTACGTGTATTATGACCCTTTTTTTGGAAAAAGAAAATCTGAGACTATGAACCAAACTGTCAAAGGTGGGCCATCGTGGTTCAGGGCAGTGGTGGGGCGGGGTGGGCAAGACCATGGGAGGCTTTCACTCTGTACAATGTGTATTTCTTTAATGCTTTGATTTATACAAAGAGCACTACTATGTTTGTAAATTGAACACAAACAAACAAAACAAGGACTTAAAAAAATGGATGCATCTTTAAAAAGACCCACCTTTCTTGGCCCTTATTCAAGATTAACACAATAAGTAGCCAAGTAATGAACATTTATACATCTCGGGAAATAAGGAACCACACGATACTCTCCTCTGAAGAGTTCAGTAACAGAAAAAATATCCATCTCTCTTGAAGAGCTAGTATGTTACTTTTTAAATAAGAACTATATAAATCAGCATTATTCTTTTTCTTGGCTCTAAGAAGACCAGAGTTAAATGTAAAGCCAAAGCATAATGAACACCATGTCTCAGATTTCTGACAAAATTCTCTTTCCTGTGCATCTGGCTTCTGATTTCTCCTTTGAATTGAACAATTCTGTTGTCTGAACCCTAACCCAGACTGAACCTGAAGACGGCCTGACCGGTGCCAGACTAGCTGCAAATGGTCGTCTGGGAGGCTTGTTAAAGCACAGGTTCCCAGGCCAAGTCCCAGGGTACTCCGGGTGGCAAGTAGGAAACCAGGAGGCTGGAGTAGGGTGCAGGACTCTCAATTTTTAATAGACTTCCCAGATACTTGTGATGTATGCTTGTAATGTGTACAGATGTAAGGACCTGGCATTTTTATGGTAATAGTCTTAAGTCCTTCTTTTGGAAGTAGGCAGGGTATAAAATCTTGGCTTGAGCTTGGAAGTTAGAATGTTCATAATTTATGTTCTGCCTATAAAAGCAGTCTCAACAAGAGGTTACTGTTGCTCCTTTGTTGAATCCACTATTCAGTATCCTTTTTATGAGGACCTGTGCGACGAACTCCTCTGAAAATTTTATGTATCATTAAAACTGGAGCTGGTCTCTGTAAAAGGTTAGGAGAAGGTACTTCCGGGGCACGGGAGTTTATTATTGCTGTTTTTAAGAAGACATGTTACACCCCGAAAGCGTGTGGTCTGAAGTAATTACCTTCTGTATAGGTGGAAGTCTTCTACTCTCCCGATGCACTGCTTCTAGGGCCTCGATGTGCATTGCCACGATTCCTGGGGTGAGTCAGAGTATTCGAAATGGAAGAGCACAAAGCATGCAGAATTACAACAAACTCTGGATATTCTAGATTTGAAAAGTAAAAATATTGTGGTGGTTCCTCAAAGAGTTAAATATAGATTCAGCAACAACTCTTAGGGATATACCTAAAAGAACTGAAAACAAGGACTCACACACACTTGTATGTGAGATTCAGAGTAGCCAGAAGGTGGAAACCACCCAGGTGTCCATCGACAGATGAATGGATACATAAAATGTGGTACAATACAATATTATTCAGCTATAAAAAGGAATGAAGTTCTGATAACTGCCACTACATGGATGAACCTTGAAAACATCATGCAAAGCTAAATAAGCCAGACGTGAAAGGACGGATATTATATGATTTCACTTATATGTAATGTCCTGAACAGGCAACTTTATTACAGAGACAGACAGCAGATTAGAGGATGCCGGGGGCTAGGGAGTAGAGGACGGGGAGTTACTGCTTAATGGGTACAGAGTGTCTGTTTTGGAGTAATATAAAAGCTTTAAAATAGATAGTGGAGTGGTGAAGATTGTGTAACATTGTGAATGTAATTAATACTACTAAGTTTTATACTGAAAACAGTTTAAAATGGCAAATTTTGTTATTATATTGTACTGCAATTTAAAAGTATTTGAAAAAGCTAATCAGACATAAGTACAGTTGGCCCTCCATATCTGTGGGTTCCAAATCTGCAGATTCAACTAAGCGTGGGTCACAAATATTTTAAGAAGTTACATTGTTGCTGCATATACTATGTGGTTGGGTCTATGGTGACTGTGGCCTTCCTGAATCTGCACAGACTTTCTTGTCTTATTCCCTAAACAACACAGTATGACAACCTCTTACGTAGCATTTACACTGTACTAGGTATTATAAGTAATCTAGAGATGACTTAAAGTAGACGGGAGGATGTATGGAGGTTATATGCAAATACTATGCCATTTCCTATAAGGGACTTGGGCATCAACAGATCCTGGAAGCAGCCCTCCGTGGACAGCAAGGGAGGACTGTAAACAGCATGGCAGAACTACATGGAAGACAAGCATTACAGGTGTTATACTGGAAAAAGTAGACCCGTAAGAGCAGTTCTTACTCAAAGATCTCTAATACTTTGCTTCTCTAATATCTGCAGAATGATTACCTGGTATCATGCAATGAAGGCTCTTGATGTGGTCCTGCGTAACGCCACTCTCTGTACAAACCTTGTCAATGAACCGTGTGATGAAACGCACCACAGAATTGGCAACGTCATTATTCTCTGAATCTTCAAACCCACTTTCTGTGTCATAGCTCTCAGCTACACTTCCTGCAATACTAAGAGAGTCAGGAGAAGAAAGCATGGTCAGTACTCCAACTATGATGAAGGAGAACCGTATCACTGTCAATTCCCACAGCAATTCAAACTTCCAGTCATTGAAGGCTCACTTAGTGCCGGGGCTCCTTTGTAAGTGATAATGGTGAAACACGGTAATCCCCTGCCTATATTAGGAAGGGATTGTCTGCTTGCCTACTGTCTGGGATTGTTCTTTGGACCCAGATTTTTTTTCTGGGGGGGAGGGTTAAGGAATACTTTCTTGTCATTCTAAAAGAAACCCAGAACCACAGAAAATAAAGCAAAAAGGGACTCTTTCATTTATTATCTGATACTTAAAACTTTGAAAACAAACAAACAAATGAACAAACAAACAAACAAACTAGTCCTCCTAAGTTTATTACCACAGAGAGTCAAAGTAACACAGCTATCTTTGGCCTTTGGCAACTGGGGGACATTTACCTGGTAGGCAAAGTAAAAAAACTATTTTCAGCAAGTAGCACGCTCTTCCAAATGGAAGAACCAAATTGTCCTAAGAACCCTTGTCTTATCAATATTTATGTTGCTCTGAGTGCATCACAACGCTTTTGGTCACTCTGAAACCATCAATCTTCTGTAGGTGATAAAACCATGCAAGAGAAGGGAGTAAATCTGAAGTGCAGCAGATGTGAACGTTCAACCCGTGCCCTCGTTACTCAGTTCCCACCATTCAACAAGTGCCCCGCCCCCTGCCTCTTTCAGACTGCCAATCACGGAGAAGACTCACCTGCCTCTTCTAACCTACTCAGTTCTCTTTCCCTCAAACCCAACCACATGGCCTGAATCAGTGTTAAAGTAAAGCCAAGCAGTGAATACGACTATCAGCTCATCCCAAAGCATTAAAGAACGTGGTGCTCTATCCACTCACTATGTAAATCAGGTTGTAGAAAACATCATGAAGGGGAAAAAAAGCAAGGAAGGAAAAAGAGTGATGGACATGCTACTTTAGCTAGAGAAGTCAGGGAGGCCTCACTGAGTAGGTGACATCTGAGCCAAGAACAAAACGAAGTTAAGGAGTGATTCTATGAACATTTCAAGGAAAGTATTCCAGACTGTGGGACAAGGACAAAGGCCCTGAGGCAGTATTATGCTTAGAGTGTTTGACATTAGCCTTAGCAGAGAGACAAGTTTGGCTGACCAGAAAATGACAGGAGATGAGGTCAGAGCAGTAGTGAGGGGCCAGGTTCTACGTGGCCCTGGATTTTGTTCTTATGGGTGGGAAAATTTGTTGTAGGGCTGAGGGACAGCACAGCTGAGGACATGATCACAGGCGAACATGATGGACAAATGAGAAAAAGAGGGCCAAGAAACAACTGTGTTAGCAAGAAAGAGCTCATTAGTAATCTTCCAAAGCGCTGCCTATAAATTGCTATGGCAGAAAGTAACCGGAGGGCTGGATGAGCAGTGGGTGAGACTTTGGAAAAATCGGGTCATGAAGGAGAAGAAAGTACAGGTGGCGGTTAAGTAGAGTTAGATAAAGTGAAGGTCTTCTTGTGGAAAACAGCTGAGCCAGTCTGAAAATAGTTAATTTCTGAAATAGGTACAGCAACATTTGCCCAAAATACGTCATGTTCTCTGCTAAGCCGGGAAGAATAGGAGGGTCTCTGTGTGTCCACATTTCGGTACCTGTTGGTCACAATGCTGTTGCTCCCACTCTCCCAGTCGCCTGGTGCCGCTGTTCTCAGGAGCTTGTTTTTACTTGTATCTAGAGGAACTAGCAGGTTGACCATGAGGTTTGCGAAGTGAATGGCCTGACTGAAGACAGTACTTTCCTCCCGCTGCACCAGCTCCTGCTGAGCTGATTTGCTCAGAGTCGGCCAAAGGCGGAGCTGCTCGGCTGCCAGGTCCATTGCCGTCTTCTCCTGATACTGGTCACCAGGGAGCTTGTCCTAAAAAACAAAGCAACACAATCCAAATCTATTACTTCACATGTGCTTCACAAAACATGGAAGATGTTTTAATCATTCATCTATTAAATACCTGCATCAGCAGAAATGAAAACACATACACAAAACATAACAACAAACAAAACCTAATCTTTTCTACCCAGATCCAGCAGGCCCGGAACCAAGTGACAAACCCAAGGAAGCGACAGCAAAGCACAGATCGATACCCTTCTCGCCGCTGACATTTCACTGCATTTATTTAACCTTGTGGCTTCATCCCTTTTTGGTTGCCAGTTACAACAAATTATTAACCCAAGTACCTATAAGTGGTTAGGTATGAATGTTCAAGTCACATCACTAATACTTTGATCCATTTCTTTTCTTCTGCTCTTTGGGAGAAGGAGATGGAGCATCCAAAGTCAAAATACAGAGCTAGATTTCCTTGTACATGTGGGAGCCAACATTACACATGAATACATGGCCGACTATGGGATTTTTAAGAAGGGTTTCCTAATAGGGTAAGGAGTTAAACAATAATAGTAACTGACATCTGCATAGCACTTCAAAGCTTGTGAAGAGCTGGTCCATCTACATCTTACTTGTCTCTAACCTGGGGCTCAGAGACAAACTCCTTTAGAACACAGACACAGAAGCAGTGATATGCTTGCTTTACGGATGCTTTTGAGATATACCAGCATTAGCATTATGGCTGCTAAAAAACTACCAGACACCCCACGGGCCCAGTTATTTCTGGGACATGACCTTAAGTCAACAGTGTTTGTCCTTTCCCAAGTGCATTTGGTGTTTTGAAGGAAAAATCTGAGTTTAAGTTAAATTAAGCCCAATTCACATGAAGAGTGCACAATAATTTGGAATATCAGATAGCGGTCAGAGAGTGCTATTTGTTATTAAAGTTTCTGTTCTTACCAGACTCAATATTAGATCAAGAATATGTTTAAACTTATAAGGCATAGAAATATTTGAATACTATTGTATAGTTTCTGTTAGATGTCTCAATTCACTTATCTCACAAAATATGAGGCCAACTTAAAATAAAGAATGTTGGAAAGGATCAGCAGCAGTGTGTTAGCCCAGCCTGTACTAATAATACTAAGTTACTCTTAAAGTGAATCCACACTGACAGTTAGCCTCTCATTAGCCTCACTAAATTAATGAGGATGCACATTTCTAACACTTACTGTTTACTACATGGGAGGCACTCTTCAATGGGCTTTACCCATATTAGATACGACGATCTTATAGAATCATACCTGTTCGTTTTACCAGTGAGGAAATAAGGCACAGGGGGTAACATGAATTGCTAAAGACCAGGTAGGCAACATTTTAAAATTTCAGAAAAATTTAAACAGTTCTTTCTAATTAAAAACAAACTTTCTCTATTTTTAGATATTTTATGGATATTCAAAAATATTTCATGTTGATAAAATATACAGGGACATAGAATATTACTTCAAGAAGACCTAGATTCATTACTAGCATACTTTTGAACAAAACTAATGAATTTTACATTTATTTTAAAGTCAGTTAATTTTAATTTGACATTTCTTCACGAAGTGAATGGCACAAAGACATCTGCCTAGGTAGTTTGGGTATGTTTTTTCTGTTCAATTTCCTATCATTGTTTCCAGGAAATTCTTATTTATTAAAATATAATAAAATATTCTAGTGTTAATGGACTGTATTAAGAAGTAATTATGGAAAAAATATAATGTCGGAAATCGACAGCAGAAAGATGCTCAGCACAGAGTTCCACAAAGTAAACTCTGAACGCGCCGCAGGGGAGTGGCCAGACTTTCTTCTGCCCCGGGAGAATCTGAACAAGCTTCCCTGGAAGCCAGGATCCCAGACTCTCACAGGTATCCTTCTTCTCGTCTCATCTTACCTTCTGCTTCAGATGTGAGGCATGATTGTCTTCCTTGGCTGAGAGATAGAGGGAACGAACTTGTTCCTGCACCGCATTGTAAAAGGTTGTCTCCCAAAACTGCTGATTTGTCCAAATAGGGTGGTCCTGCACACAGGTGTAAGCAAACTGGCTGACTCCGGGGCCCAGTTTCTGTGGGAACACAATATACAGCAGACATCACCACGGGGCTGGCAGAGTTAGGACAGTTCAGAAGGCAGCAGGGGCCACAGTTAACCGCAGCTGTGCTCAAAGGACTCATCTAAATAGGATTTTATGGCAGTATAAGCCTAGTGACCAGCAACTTACTCATTTTTGAACTGGCAACTTTGGGCTTGCTTGAAACCCCTAAGGTCTCTATCACTTTATCCATTAAAATGGAACATTTCAGCAACAGCTACAAGTTGAAGTTATCATATGAATTAGAGAATAGATGAAAATGCCTGGTGCTATACCATGGACACAGTAGGCACTGCAGAGCTGGTAGCTTTACTACAATTAGAACACATAATAAAATCCGATATAACCTAAATACAAAACTCCAGATAATTTTAAATGTCTTCTACTTGGTTTTAGAGTACATCAGGGGCTCTAACTGAAACATGAGTGAGCCTACAGCTTGGCCTCACACACAGAATGAAGGCACATTAGGAGTTTGGGCTCAAGAGGAATTACACCCTCCCTACCGCTCATGCCAGCCCTTTACCTCCCACCAAGGTTGCTGCCTGGCCATCAGAGTCCCTAGCAGACTGTTCTGGGCTTCATGGGCATTTTCTGGTAACTAAGTCTGGGTATGGGAAGGTAATCTCAAATCAAAGCTTCCTTTTCAGGACTTCCTGCTGGGACTTCAGAGTGAGAATAAACCTTAGTCTTGTGATTAACAATGGCGGGAAGGAAAACCAATTCTTGTAGGCATTTGAGGACCTTCATCAACATGTCTCATTTAACACTAAAGATCTTGTAAGACTCATTATTACTGCCAACTTAAGGAAGAGAAAACAAGTTCAGAGAGGTGTTAAGTCCAAGGCCATACAGCAGTTACATAAGTGGCACAGTAGGTTTCAAGCCCAGAGTTTGCTTGGTTCCAGAGCCCCTGCTTTTACTACACCAAACTGTCCTGCAAAGGAACAGAAAACAAAGCATAAAATACATTAAGTACCAATTATCACTGCTGTCTGTTTTTTCCCTGCACTTTAGGAATTTATTTCCCAAACTAAAATTCTGCCTCTAACCTCTAATATGATTTCAATTAACAATACATTTTATTTTATTTGAATTTTTGTAAGAGTTTATTTGAGCCCAACTGATGACGTATGTCGAGAAGCAAGTTCTCTACTGTTTCCTGTATTTTAAAATTTATAGATAATTTACTTTGCCAAATTTCAGTTAATGAGTTGAGTCATCTTTCCATAGTTGTTGCTTTCATCTCTAAAAGTTAAAAAAAGATGTTTCAAAAATTTTTAATCCATCATTTCTCAGTAAATAGCAGGTAGACATTCTCAATAGATAGACTCTGTTTGTCCGTTTTATTCCTTGGAATTGAGTTCATCTATTTTCTGTGAGTAGAACTAAAGTTTCATATAATGTAAGTTTTCTTTTGAAGCATTTTAATAAGCTGAATAATCTTTTGAAATGTTGGACACTGAAGATTACTATTAAGGTAATATATAAAACAGTTATGTAGCAAAAGTTGGTTCATTTTTTAGGGATACATAATAGATGTATAATATAACTAGTAAAAATTATATGTTCAATACACGCTAATTCCCTTCTTGGTCTCAAGCAAACTAAACCTAGAACTTGAATAGGCACTATGCATACCATGAAATGTATAGTACCTGTACAGTTAGAAGTGGTGTGGCTGTGATTCTGCCTATGAGAGTCTGTGTATTTCTATATCCCATGTGTTAAGTCTCTTTCCAGACAGTTCTATGTATTGCTGTTGTGGTGATCAAGTGTACGTCTATTAGGTGGCTATAAGCTGGGGCTGACCATGAAGCAAAAATCAGGAGTTCTCCAAGGGAACGTCGTACAAGGATCATTGCTGGTCTTTGTAATGCTGTCTGCTCACTGGAAACACAGCTACTAACTCCCTATGGGGAAAGCATGTACACAGTGTGTGTGGTGCTGTGAGTAGGTGAGCAAAGCCACACACACTGTGAATCACATGCTCCTTCTATACTTTTCTCCAAAATTCTTGGGATGTGGGTTGCACACAAGAGGTCTGTCCAGAAAAAAATCCAGCCATCATTAATATAACAAGTACAGTTTGCGTGACAACAATGTAACCTGGCAGCCAAGGAGAGTGGACTGAAATGCACATGTGTGAACAGTAACGGCTTCACCGTACTAGTCAGTGGGGTTGGTAGACGTTGTTGAGTGAGCATGTGTACTGTGTGGCCATCACATTAAAAAATGACTGAGCGAGTAGAGCAAAGAATCCGCATTAAATTTTGCATTAAGCTCGAACATTCCTCCACAGAAACTATTCAGGTGATTCAGAAGTCCGCAGCTATGGGTGATTGATGATTGGCAGCTTCATCATGACAACGTGCCTGCTCATACATCATGTCTCGTGTAGAGTTTTTTGGTGAAACAGTCAATCACCTAAGTGACTCAGCCCCCCTACTGCCTAGATTTGGCACCCGGCAACTTTTGGCTTTTCCCTAAACTAAAATCACCTTTGAAAAGGAAGAGATTTCAGAGCATTAATGAGATTCAGGACAATACAACAGGGCAGCTGATGGCAACTGGGTGAACTGTGTGAGGTCCTCAGGTGTCTACTTTGAAGGAGACTAAGGCATCATTGTCCTGTGTACAATGTTTCTTGTATCTTATATCTTCTTCCATAACTGTCTCTATTTTTCATAGCACACGGCTGGACAACTTCTTGACAGACCTCGTCTATTTTTTGCCCCTAAACATTCTAAGGACTAACAGTGACCACACAGCGGTGCATACACCTATTTTGAAAGAGAGATTAAAGGCACAAAATTCAAACAAGATTAAAGCACAGTTCTCAACTGCCTTTCCCATAAAGATAGAGGCAGCACCATTTCTTATAAATGCAACATAATGAATAGCAGCTCTTAAAATTTTAGAGTTCTAAAATCATGTTAACATAGTTAAGCTCAGAAAAACAGCTCTTAACAAATCCTTATCAGGTTTTCACATAAAGTACTTTCAGAATCATCAACAGAGCAAAAGTTACTAAGTATAAGTTTCTTACTACAACTCGACAGCAACAGGAATCTGAGAGTACACCAAAGCCCTGTCTTTCTTTCAGCATTTTTGTTACTGATGCTGCATGTCCACTTCCCTTGGCACCCGTCAGTTATTACCCCATTTATTTACAAACTAAGAGTGAATATGCAAACACTTTCCTAAATCTTTGAACAGAAGTGAACTGTCTATGTTCCTAGGCAGAAACACAGTGTAAAAGAGAATGACAGAAGCTCAAAGGGTCGGAACCCACAGCTTGGCCGTTAGGGAGAATTATAGCAGGGTGGGGTGATTATAGGGTACTTTCTGGTGGCAAGATGGTCACAAATGACTATGGCATCTCATACATGCATAAAAATCATTAATTTCCCAAGTAGAAATATTATTTTTCCAAACATGAAATTTGCCTGTTTTCTTTGTGGTTTCCTGCTATGTCTTTTCAACCGCAAGCACAGGGCGCTGAGCCCCTTGTGTTAGGATGGGCAGGGCCGTGGCACTGGTGGGCAGGCGTGTTCTTAGGAACAGCAGAGGGCAGTAGCACCCTGTTCTGCCCAGATCCCACCAGGGCTTGAGACAGGAATGGCGAAAACGGAGCTTTGCAGTCTGGCTGGGCTAGAAAGTGGGTGCTAAGGTGAATACTGCACGTCCTCACCGTGCATTTGGGAGACCCAGTGAGAAAAGGAATTCACCCAAGGTCACACAGCAAAATGGGTAGAGGAGACGGGAACAGAAACAAGGTTTTCCATTATTCTACAACATTTCTGTAAGATACAAGAATTAAGATATTCCACAAAACAAAACTATAGTAAAACTATCTAGAGAAAGATACAATGAGACTATTTAGGGTTTCAGCTTCAGTATATCCCGTGATAAGCAGCAGAAGACTTAGTAAGCAAGAAAAATAAGAGCTCCTGTGGATAAAGCTATCTCCTGATTTTAATCACTTCCTTGGTTTGAAGAAAAAACTTTCCCAAGATGGTTTCTCACAATGGCCCACATCCCAGCTGCACGACCTTCCATTCTGCTCGGAGAGGAGACTCAGTCCACACGCAGAGTGTCAGGGTGGTGGCTTGGGGCACGCTGCTGTCCAACGACACCGCTCGTTCCCTTCAATTTTGGCAACTACCTTTACTTTACATTTTATGATTCTTATGATTCTGTCTTAAAGAAACACGTGATATTTTGCCATGCAATTTTATGAGATGTTTAAGAATGTGCTGCCTTCCTTCCTTATCTAGAAAAAACAGCCCTGGAGGTACTAGATTAAGCAATACCATTCATTTCCCACACAACATTCAAAGGAAACCCAGCATGGGACAGGATATGGAGAGTAAACCACAGGATCAGCAACCAGCAGGCCAGATACAGGTCCGAGTAACTGGACACAAATCACCTCAGAGATGGGTTGGTCCAGGGGAGGGTTAAGATATCAATATGAGAGGCCTAAGGCTAGCCATGTTTGATCTCCAGGCCCAAGGCTCCAATTAGGAAGCTCAGAGGCAAAGCAGATTCCAGGGAAAAAAGCTGGCTGGTGAGACTGCCAGCTTTTATCTATAAATACGTAATGGTCTTGAAGAATAACGCAGAATACAAAGATTCACAGTTTAAACCGCTGGCTATCTCCTGTCTAGCTCTGGCACTGGAATACAAGGGGACTTCACTGCACAGTTGAGGGATGGTGCCAGGCAATCCCTTTATGATCCTCGCTGGCCTGACAAACTCCAGGTATTTAGTCACTTTAAGAATTAATTTCTGAGTATTTTCTGACGAACCTCGTGCATAGTCTTAAGGGACAAACAAAAGGAAGGCAGGAATAGGGAAAATATGTATCCGAAACCTGTGTTTATTAAATCTTAACCGAATCTTAAACACATTTGCTTTGTGCATCTGTTTTAAACAGAGGACATGCAACGTTATGGGTCTGGCTGGAG